TTTATAATTCTATTTTATTATTATTTTTATTATTTGTTTGAAGCTTACATTTTTATGAAGAGAAGTTACGAAGAATATGTGATATATATTGGAAATTTTTTGGGCGTAGCCCGTATATTGAAATAAAAGGATTACAAGTGAAGTCCTACCCAAAAACAAAACTTGGGAGGAGTCATAAAAACCAAAGCAGAAATACATCAAAAGAAGGAGAGCAAAACAAATTAATTGGACTCAGGAAACATGAACCAACAAAGCTTCCATCAGATGAGATATCAGCAACAAGATTAATCCACTCTTCCTTGGTTGCCATAAAAGATCAACAAGTGGCTAGCATCAAACCAAACAGCAAACCAAACCAAGCTTCCATCAGATAAGCAGCCCAGAAACAATACAAAGCATCCTGAAAGGCATCAGAATCATGGATAGAACGATAAGGAAAAACAGCCAGGATCAGCCATCCAGAAAGAGAAGGCAACCCAGGTGATCGAAGATGGCCATCCAAAGGAAGAGACCAACCGAGGCAACCCGAAAAGTTGGTTCCCCTCATCATCGTCTAGTAAAAGAGGGGAAGCACCCTCTTCAAAAACAAAATCAATCTTGTCATCGTGAAGATCTGCAAAAACAGCACAGTTCAAAAGGGGAGGGAATAAGTCTTGAAGCAAATGGGGAAAGTACCCTGAAGCATCTCAATGCATTTCCAATTCGCAGCCTTAGCAGAAATGGCATGAGTAATTTTCCTAATAGAAGCAGTTCTAGAAACATTGGCAAAAGTAAAACGGATGGTATTCTTGTCCCTCCACAGATGATAAACCGAACAGCAGACCACAAAATAACAAAAAAAAATTTCAAAATTGTGCAGCTGAGTATTCCCATCTATGAACTCAAAAACCTGAAGTAGAGTAGGCGAAAGTAGAAAATTTTGGAGAAGAGGGAGAAATGTAGTAAGAACCGAAAAGGTAAAGGCATATTGAAAAAAACAATGTGAAATACTTTCCACCTCCAATCTGCATAACGGGCAAAGAGGTTGTATAAAAATTTTCCTTTTAGTCAGAATATCCGCAGTCTTTAAACCACCCATAAAAGCCAACCAAACATAGGATGAAAACCTTAAAGCAGAGCGGCGGTGCCAAACATATTTATACTAAGGGACCTTATCAAAACCTTCATAGAACTTTAACTGGAAGTTTTTAAAAGAAGGTTTAGTATTGTCAGCCCAGGACATAACCTGAGTAGAGGCGTTCTGAATTTGAACCAATTTTATACGATTGATCACAGGAGAATCCAGGAACGAAGGAAGGTCTCAGACCCCATCCGTAATATAGTCCAGAACTAAGCTATCACGAAAAACATCTTGATAAGAAAATTCAGAAACCGCAAAACCAGCACACCAGGGGTCCCATTGCATGGAAAGCTTGCAATTATAAGTAGTAACATGAAACTGTATAGCCTCCTTAATCCTACAGGCAATAGTGTAAATGCATTTCCAAAATTTAGAGGTCTTAGCCTGAATTGGTTTCCAAGGTGAGCTAACTTTAGATCTAAACCAATTCGCCGCTAAAGAATCAGAATTATAAAATCTCCAAATGAAAGAAACGCCAACAGCGAACTGAAGAGATTCAATAGAAGGTAGTCCAATCCCACCAAAGCATTTAGGCACACAAGTATTTCTCCACGCCACCAGATGTAATTTCTTTACAGTAGCAGAGCTATGAAAAAGGAACTTAGAGCATAATTTGTCAATACTCTTACAAATAGATTTGGGTAAGATAGAGCCACGAATCCAGTACGCCAAAGTGTTGAAAATGGTGAATTTAAGGTATTGAATCCTCCCTGCAAAAGACAAAAAATTAACTTTCCAACCATCAAGTAGAGAAGCAAGCTTACTCAGTAGTGGTTGGAAGTGAGCATTCTTAAGTTTTTTTGAGGAGATGGGAAGGCCAAGATAAGTGAAGGAGTTCTCAGATGGAGAAAAACCAAGAAGGGAGGTGATCTCAGCAGCACTAGAGGTGTTAGAGGAGAAGATAATAAAACATTTTTCATTATTAAACTTAAGGCCAGAGTGAGTAGCAAAGGAGGTGAGGGTATTATTCAAAGCAAGAGCATTAGATAAGTTGGTCTTCCCAAATATCAGGATATCATCCACATAGAGGAGATGCTTAACAGAACAGTTCCCATGAGAAATCCCAATGAAATTACTGCCCTCAATCTCACTGGAAAAAGCATCCATCACCATAGAGAAGAGAAGAGGGGAAAGGGGGCAACCCTATCTGAGCCCAGAAGAAGATTTAAAGAACCCCTCAAGCTTCCCGTTAATACAAACTGAGAAGTGAACATCTTCAATGCAGCCCCTTATCCAATTCACAAATTTAGTAGGGAAGCCTTTAAGGATAAGCCTGTTAAGAAGGAATTCATGGGACACAGTATCAAATGCTTTCCGAATATCAAGCTTCGCACATAAAAATTTGTTACAGGCCGTAGCATTAAAATCACTTAGAATATCAGCCGCCAAAACAATATTCACAGTGGAAATTCTATCCTTTATAAATCCAGCTTGACTTTTGTGGAAAATGAGTGGCATTACGTCTCTCATCTTGTTGGATATAATTTTGGCAATGATCTTATATAACACATTGCAAAGTGAGATAGGACGATAATCAGAGATGCTAGTAGCATGAGATCCCTTAGGGATGAGAGAAATAGCAGCAGCCTTTACATTTTTTGGAAGGGTCCCTGTAGCAAAGAAAGCCTTAATTGCTTTGCAAACATGTCCACCAATTATTTCCCAAGTGGCTTTATAGAATTCAAAGGAAAAACCATCCAGACCAGGCCTTAGAGGAGGAACCAGCCATTACAACATCTAGAATTTCTTTGTCAGAGATCGGGGCAGTAAGGGGAGCCATGTGAGAAGGGGGTATAGTGAGGCCTATGGGGATAGGAGAATTTCCGGTGTTGACAGTAGTAGGCGTGTTATAAAGCTTTTGAAAGTAAAGTATAGCAGCTTGAGCAATATCATTATGGGTGCAAAAGTGCCCCTCATCAGTGTGGAGATCTTTGATATGACTAAGAAAATCTGGATTTGATTCTAGCATATAGAAACCCCAAGTCATCCTCTCCTCTAGACAACCAATTAGCCTTAGCACGTTGGATAACCCAAGAACTCCAAGCCTGTTGAAGGGAGGAAAGGGAATCACTTATGCTTTTTAAGTTCAGGTTAAGGCTGCTATCAGTGGGGTTAATTTGGATCTGGGCCAAACATTGATGTTGAAGATCTTGGAGCTCTCTAATTCTGTTGGAGAGGAAAGTTGCATTGGACCATTTCTCCTTCTCAATGAGGTCCTTTAGACTGTGCAGCTTAGAGTAAAAGGAAGAGATAGGACCTCCAATAGAGCGGGTAGCAAAAACAGAGATTAAACAATCCCAAAAACCTCTCAACTTCAGCAAGTAGTTCTTAAATTGGAACCTAATAAAAGGCCTTTGAGAGGGGCTGTCTGGAAGGAGGACCAAAGGGGAATGGTCCGAGCAGGAGGGACTTTCCACTTTGTATAATGAGGTGGGGAAGAGCTCAAGCCAGACCGTATTGACAAGCATTCTATCCAATTTAATGTGAATAGGATCCTCAACTCTTTGGTTAAACCAAGTGTAATACAATCCAGAAGAAGGGAGCTCGAGCAGACCAGCATTGAAAATCCAGCTATTCATCTCCTCCAAACGACTGTGGTGGAGGGGAAGGCCCCCAGCCTTATCGTTGGGAGACCTGCAACAGTTGAAGTCCCCTAAAATGACCCAAGGGGCAGTAATAGTAGATGCAAGATTCAGTAACTGATTCCATAAAGTAATTCTGTCCGAAACCGTGTTGGCAGCATATATGGCAGAAAGAATGATATGTGGGAGAGAGCCACAAGAGAGAGTGTCGTGGATGATTTGTGGAGCAATAAGGGAAGGGGTAAAGGAGATGTTTGAGGGATTCCACTTCACCCAAATTCTTCCAGGGGAAGAGCAGGAGAAGTTGTTGCAACTAGCTTCATTAGGAAAAACCGAGTGGGTGTTAATAAACCAGGGTCAGCCAGGCTAATAGAGGTGGTTTTAGCCTCCAAAATACAAAGCAATTCAAGACGGTAAGAAGAAACAAGGTTTTTACAAGCTAGAACTTTATCAGGGGAATTGAAGCCCCTAACGTTCCAGCAACCAATCAGTGTAAGGGTCATTTGGACTTAGAAGAACGGGGCTTCTTGGCACTTTTGCCTTTTTGACTTTTAGGTTGAACTGGGATAAATGGGGTCTTTGAGGAAACATTTGGAGGAGGGTTAGAAGAAGAAGAGGCAGTTTCATCCGGCGGATCATCTTCAGGTTGAAGAATAGAGAACCGGTTAGGAGAGGAGATGGGGGGGTTAGCAGGGAGTACAGAGCCACCAATGGGTGCAGGGTCATGGGATTTACCAGAGTGGCGGAGGGAATAGGGGGAAGGGTTATCTGAAGAAGCTAGGTCATCTAAAGGGGAATTTTCTAGAAAACTCTAGAAATCAGGTACAATATAGGTAAATTACTCCTATATATGACCCATTTTAACTAATATCATATGCATTAATAGGCACCACGCGTGTCCTGCGGGGGAGGGCCATTGATGAGCTAAGCAAAGTTGACAATTTCCATGAGGAAAAAAAGCAAAAATAAAAAATAATTGAAGAAGATGTGAGGAAGACGACCTCGCCTTCTCCGCCTCTCCCGCCGACTTCAGATTCGCAAACCAAACCCACCCTTGTCGGCTCACGAAAAACGTGTGCACCACGTGCACCGCTCTCTCCTCCCCTCCATCGCTTTCGCGTTTTTCCTTCTGCCACTAACAGAACGCGCATATATTAAAACCAAACCTGCTCTCCCTCCCATGTGAAATCTCAACTGCTATTTCCATAAGAAGAAGCATACAATATCAAGAAGAAGAAGAAGAAGACGAAGAACTTGTATTTGTTTCTACTTGAGAAGGCAACAAGAAGCGTTAGGGAATGGAGAGAAATAGCTGCGTGGAAGTTGAGCCGGACGAGCTCGAGCTCCGCCTCGGCCTCCGGCGCTGCAGCGACCCGCCGCCGCCCTACTCTACGGGCTTTGATCGCCGGAATGGCTTCGTGGACTTACCCAGGTAGTCTTCAATAATGAATGATTATTTCTTAATCTATGCTTAGCCAATCATCTAAATAATTTGACTAATATTTCTTCCTTCATGTGAATCAATGAATAAAAATTTTCAGTTCCGATGAGCGCGGTGGGCAAATCACCATCTTCTACGACGGTCAGGTTTCTGTATGCACCATCACCGACTTGCAGGTTAGCAGCTTAATCCCTTCTCCGACAACAAATTCTTAAGGATCGATCAGCAATGTATTTTTCTTTATAAATTACTGTTTAGTTCAGATATAATCAATAGAAAATTAAATTTATCAAAAAGATATAACATTTCATTAACGATTGATTGATCGCTCAAAATCTAATTAAATCTATGAAGTTTTTTTTTTCGTGAAGAAATAAAAATTCGATTTTTGTTCAACTAACAAAAATAAAAAAAGTTTTTTTTTTTTTCATTAAATTTCAGAAGTAGGTGCAAACTAATCTCCATTTTCGTTCCTTCAAAGTTTTTTTTTTTCCTTCTTTCGACTCATTTATTTGCATTTGGTGGTTATCATAGGCAAAAGCCATAATGGAAATGGCGAAGAATGAGATGAATAGAAGCATGGGGGCGAACAAGAATGGGAAACAAGAAGAGGAAAAGGAGTCGTCTTTGCCTGGAGAGGCCACCACCGTGGAGTCGCAGCTGCTGAATCCTGGGCTATCCATGAAGAGATCGTTGCAGAGATTTCTTCAGAAGAGGAAAACGAGAATGGCAGATCTCTCCTGCCCTTACGGCAAAATACAAAAGCCATTGCAACTCTTCTCCTCTTCATCGTAGGAGCAAAATGGTTTCTTTCTATAGATAGTTTGTTCTTTATTTATTTATTTAGATTAATACGATAAGATTTCATTAGAGAATCTCATCAATTATGTTTTTTTTTATATGTTTTTACTAGTTGTTTTTAACACACTATTGAAGGGTTGCTTTTCTTCGCAAGAATTCAGGTTTCATATATTTTTAAAGTGCCAGTAAAATAAGTAGTTTATTCATAGGACAATTTGTTTTTTTTTTAACAAATGTGAGGAAGTTATTATTATTTATATATAATTTTGGTTATATGTGGGAAAACTTATTATATGGAAAGTACGGATGCTGTCCAAACTTCAATCACGTCGATTTTTTCTCTCTTGTATACAAGGTGTATGAAAGAGAGAAAATTCATGTGTCTTAATATGACTGAAATATGAATGAAAAGTTATGTCCAAACTCCTCACATAATAATCAATTTGATAACTATATAGAGTTTTTCGTGATTTCTTAAAACTATTTTTGAATTGAATAATTTTAGGATTGAAAACGCCAAAGAGCTTCTTCCTAAATTAAAAAATTAGGTACTGATGAAGTATTTATATTAAAATTAAAAAATCTTAAATAATAATAATAATAATAATAAACAAAAGCAAGCCTTTGATTAGTCAGGAGAAGCATTGCAACAATTGTTGGCTAGATAAATTAAAAAAAAAAAAAAAAAATAAACAAAAGCAAGCCTTTGATTAGTCAGGAGAAGCATTGCAACAATTGTTGGCTAGCGCAGCCTTGGATTAGCATAATAATCGCTACGATGGCGATGGGCGATGCAAAGAGCTAGCGTTAGGGCAGTGCCATGTGGGTTAAAACTATTTTCGAATTGAATAATTTTAGGATTGAAAAAGCCAAATAGCTTCTTCCTAAATTAAAAAATTAGGTACTGATGAAGTATTTATATTAAAATTAAAAAATCTTAAATAATAATAATAATAATAATAAACAAAAGCAAGCCTTTGATTAGTCAGGAGAAGCATTGCAACAATTGTTGGCTAGCGCAGCCTTCGATTAGCACAATAATCGCTACGATGGCGATGGGCGATGCAAAGAGTGTTAGGGCAGTGTCATGTGGGTGTGGGGCAGTACTGTGGTGGTGCTGAGAGGCTGCAATTGTGAGGGCCTCAAAACCACGAGAGATTATTTTGTGCAGACATTGGACATAGCATACCGTCCAGAGTCGAATCAGCTGCATCCACATCATTCAGTACCGAGCTCGGTACAGAGCAATACCGAGCCGCGGTACCAAGTAGGGGGTGACATAGAACATTTTCATTGGACTATGGACAACGTTCCATGTCTGCACAGAATAATTCATTCAAAACCACAGTAGAGTATTGGGGAGACATGTGAAACACTCAAGTTGGAGTAATTTAAAATAAATAAGGAGGATATGAGGAAAAATAGTATAAGAAGGACATGAGGATTCACAATATGGTTAATGTTTAGGACAGTTTTTTTGGTGCTTTATTTTTTTATAGTAATCACAATTTAGTTTGACTGCTACTTTTTATTATTTTTTAAAAATTTATGTAGTGAGAAGCTATTTTTTACAACTAAAATAGTTAAATTATTTTCTCCACATTAACTTCACCATCAACTTTATAAAATGTTGCAGCCATTTCAGAAAGATCTTAGATATTATTATGATGCTATCCTCATCTTTAAGTGCCATCGCCAAAAAAAAACTATTTGATGTTGAGAAGAATATTGAGAGGAGAATAGATTGAGAGATCTCAAGATGTTATAGTTTCATTTTATGAATAAGTTATTATCGTATACCACAGTCGTTCATGTCAAATTAACTACATTATATCATTGCTATTATGAGTTATATTTAGTGAAGGGATATTTGAGCCAATTAAGATAAATTCACACACATAGCACGTACGTAAGCTTCAAACCCAAAGTCTTTTGATTGGTAGCCAAAGCTCCAAACCAATTCGTACAATATGAGTTGTGTAGTCATCAAATACTTCAATCAATCAATCAATTTCTTTAAAAATTGCAAGTTGCCAAAAAATAATCCTATCAAAATTGCTTAAATAAACGTTGCAACAAAGTTAAAGTTGCCACAAAAAATAAATTGATTAAATTAATTATATAAATTAAATTATTATTTTTAATTAAAATATCTAAAAGCATTTTATAAGTTTACTATGCCTTTTCTCTTCTTAATTCGCTTAACAGAGAGTTGGATTAAGGATTTAAGAGAGAATGAGAGGAGAGAGCAAAGAAAATTTCAGATTGGAAGTGGTAGAATGATTTTCGTCAGTCATGCCAGTTGAGAGATTTACTCGTCTTGCTATAAGAAACATTTATCATATTTCTGATTTCAAAGATTTTGTGTTTTTTACATTTTCTGATCAAATTTGTGTTTTCGTTACCGAAAAACTTAAATAATTTTGTATTGTTAAAACTTTCATTGCGTAACTTTTTGTATGTTATGGAGATTAAGATTATGAACGTTTTAATTAAAATATCTAAAAGCATTTTATAAGTTTACTATGCCTTTTCTCTTCTTAATTCGTTTAACAGAGAGTTGGATTAAGGATTTAAGAGAGAATGAGAGGAGAGAGCAAAGAAAATTTCAGATTGTAGGTCGCAGAATGATTTTCGTCATTCATGCCAGTTGAGTGATTTTGAAAATACAACTATTTTTGCCTACTCAAAAATTTATTTTGATGTCTAAAAATAGTGATTTAATTCAACCAAAGTTTCAGAATATTATTTTAGGTAATATTTGATAATTTGGTTAAATTCTAGAAATATGAATATTCGCTCAATATAATTTTGTTGTCTACCATTATGACATTTTGATATTTTTTGAATTATGCTCAATTAAGATTTATTTGTTGTAATACATTGAAATCAATGTGAATATGTGATTGAGATTACTATTATAGTTTTGTGATAATAATGTGTGTGCAAAAGACAATTAAATACTAGTTGATATGTTGGTTGGATATTGATTAACTTGTATAGGTGGGCCGACAAACTTTCCTTTAAATATTGTGATTTGGTGTTATACTCAACTGATTTAGGTGATACTGATTGTGAGTTATAATGAGATGATTAGTATGCCGACGGGCAAAGAGTGACAACTTTGTTTACTAAGCCAACAGTTTACTGATACTGATACAATACTGAAAAATATCGTGATAGTCAATACTTCTTACTTGTTTAGTGTGAATACTGAAATGCATTTTTAAGACATTTTTCTTATTATTGTATGGAGATTTAATGTTATTATATTATTACACTACTCCTGCCACTAGATTGTTATTAATATCTATTTAGATACTAATATTATTTAATACTACTGTTTCATTGTATTGATACTAAGCATATGATGTACTATGCACGTAATATAGAATACCTGAATAATATGAGTACACTCTTATATGATTTTACTGTATTGATATGATTTCGATAGTCTTTATCGATGTTTTAATTTGATACTTTATACGATTTATGTACTGATTAGTATTACATATTTGACGATTACTTTATAGATTTGACATACATTTTGGTTTATTGATTTATTGGCTTCCGTACTATAGTGTTTTACGGTTTATAGATTCTACTAATACTGCATGTGAATTTTATTATTTCTGCACTGATTCATTGATCTTATAAATGTAACTCATATAATATAATTGTTGACATGTATATTGCTTATTTGTCATGCTCTGAATTCAATTGTAGGTTTTGGTGACCTGTTGGACTTTTTAAGCTCATTATATATAGTTAAATGATCTCAGGTCAGGATAAAGAAGTATGAGTGTAAGGCTGATTAGGATTCTTCAATTTTTTTTTCTTTTGTACTCATGACATAATAGTTATGATATAAATATATAAATCCTAAGTATCGTATATGATTTTTAGGATTAAATATAAATGTGTACATTGATGTTTTAAATTATAAAATATGTTTTGCTGTTTATTACTGATAGATGATATTAGATAGCTCTGATTATCATTTATTAAAAGATAAATGAATAATTATTCTAAATTAGATCATAGAGCATCACACATTGGGTGTGTAAAAGAGAGAGAAAATTCACCCGTCTTAATGCAATTGGAATCTGGATGAAAAGCTATGTCTAGTCTCCACACGAATAATCTCTCCATGACTATACGTATAGCTCATCTTTCATGATTTCTTAAAACTATTTTACATCTTTTAAACTATTTTCGAATTGAATAATTTTAAGGTAGAAAATGCTGGCATCTTCCTAAATTAAAAAATTGAATACAGATGAAATGTTTATATTGAAATTAATAAATTAAAAAAAAAAGACTACAAAATAAAAACAAAAGAAAGCTTTTGATTAGTTAGGAGAAGTATTGCAGCAATCGATTGGCACAATAACTGAGCGTTAGGGCAGTGTCATGTGGGGCAGTTTGGTGGTGTTGAGAGGCTGCAATGGCGAGGGCTTCAAAACCACAGGGAGAGTATTGGGAAGACAAGTCACAAGGTGACTCGCTCAAGTTGTAGTATTTTTGAAATTTATAAGAAGGATATGAGGAAAAATAGTATAAGAAGGACATGGAGATTCACAATATGTAGTTAATGTTTAGGACAACTTTTTTGATGCTTTGTTTTCAGTAGTTAATCATAATTTTATGTAACTATAACTTTTTATTATTTTTTAAAAAATTTATGTAGCGAGAAGCTATTTTTTCGTACTAAAATTACTAAATTATTTTCCCTACAGTAACTTCATCATCAACTTTATAAAACATTGCAGTAATCTCAAATACCGTTGCGAAAACAAGTTACTTGATGCTGAGAAGAATTTTGGGTAGAGGATAGATGGAGAGATCTCAAGATGTTATAGTTTCATTTTATGAATAAGTCATTATCATATACCACTATCGTTCAAGTCAAATTAAATACAGTATATCATTACTATTATGAATTATATTTAGCAAGTAATCAAATACTTTTAGGGGTGGGGGCATTTAAGTCAATTAAGACAAATACACACAACACATACGCAAGCTTCAAATCTAAAGTCTCTTGATTGATAGTCAAAGCTCCAACTAATTTATATAAGGTGCGCTGCATAGTCATCAAATACGTCAATCAATCAATCAATTTCTTTAAAAATTGCAAGTTATAAAGAAAAAAAAAAAATCTTTCTATCAAAATTATTTAAATAAATGTTGCAACGAAGTTAAAGTTGCCACAAAAAAATATTCTACTCGTCAAATGAAGTCAATGGTTTCATCATCATCAGCTTAAAACTCAGTAAGAGATAGGGAGGGATATGTAATAAATAGAAAGATTATATATTTTAAGAGAAAGCAATGCTAAGTATTCTTAGATAATTTTACATGTATTATCTCAATATAGTACTTTTCTGAGCATTGAATCTCAGCCTACAAATTCAGAGTCTGATGATAAGGCTTACGCATTCTAATTTTCTTTAGTCATATTAATGTTTATGATTTATTTCCCAAAAAAAAATGTTTATGATTTGATAGAGATCTAGTCAAATTTTAAGAGCTTCTCATGAATGTGTTCTGCTCCCTCTCATTTTTCTTCACGAAGCATGTTTCATACTTGCTAGTAGGGGTGTCAATGTTTGGCACGACCAAAAAATTTGGTCGAAAATTTTGGATTCGGGTTAGTGATTTCAACCCGTTTGTAAAACTGGGTTGGATTTGGTTGACTCGGAAACCCATGAATGAATCGAAATGACCTAGCAAAACGCCTCTGCTTGCGTCGCCTACCCGCGTCGCGTGGACTCGCGTGTCTCTTTGCGCATACCGTCATGCCGTGCATCGCCCGCTACCTCGTCGTTGCCTGGCCGCTCCCACTTCCTGGATGCTTCCACTGCTGCTTACAGGATTCAGATCTGAAATATTGCGCGCAAACGGATGGCTATTGCAGCTTACTTGTCGGGTCTGGATTGGGACCAAAATATTGACCGGTTTCCAAAAATGGGTCGATTTTAGGTTGATACAAATAGTGTCCGGTCAATTCCGGATTGGACCCAAACCCGACCCGTAACCCGATTTTGACAACCCTACTTGCTATTTTGTCTTAAGTGTTGGATCCAACATCTTTTAGACGTAGCAGCATGAAAAATGCTGAGAACAAAAAGTAAACCTATGGAGTTCCCTGATAAAAGGAAAAGATCAAAACAAATAGAGCAACAATAGTTGGTCACACCTTAGGCAATTCAGTCCAATGGAGGATAGTTTGACAAACATGATTGATCTAGTCTTTGGAAAATAATGATCTAAAGCTTCTGATTTCTTCAATGCGAGGTTAATGATGTGATAAAAACTCTTTGATAGTTGAAAGAATTTTATCTGAGCTGGTGGTTAAGAGGAGGCTAAGCTATCCTAGTCCTAGATTTTATATCAGTATTGTGGCATGGAGATGGATCTTGACATGGATTCATTTGGAAAGGCTAGTGCAATATTTTTAGATGTGTTGCAAAAGTGGTGATGATTTCTTCATAGCAGGTCCCTTAATGGCGGCATTTCTCAACTGAGATTATCAGAACTAACCATATCCATCATTGTGAATAGACAGAAACAATTCAGGTAATTGCGATAAAGTTGCATCAAGAAGAAACATAATTACTATAGAGGCTGTCACAATATCAAAACTAAGCATCCAATAAAACTTGAGTTCATATTTCACTTATCATACAACAGAATCAAATGCCAAGACCTCTCTTTGGTTTCTTCAAGTGATTCATTATAGCCTGGAAATTGAGTGGTTCAGTTCTGAAGGAGTGACGATGTGGTTGCGAGTGATTTTGCTGAGCGATGTGCAGCCACTTAAAGCCATGGTTAGCTCAAACTCGTCTCTGAGCATTTGAAGCACCTTTCTGACTCCAGCTTCTCCCTCTGAAGCCAAAGCAAAAACGACTGGCCTTCCAATCTGTGAGGACAGTAGTTTGAATAAGAATCTGAAGCTGAAGCACGGAAAACTGCTTCATCATTGGCTACAATGGAAAGTTATGCTTGATGTTTTGTAATGGAAACTTACAAAAATACCAGAGGCTCCCAGAGCTAATGCTTTGAAGACATCAGTTCCACGGCGAACACCGCCATCTAAGAACACAGGAACACGGCCCTGTGCAGCCTTGACAACCTGAAATTTATATAGGATTTGTTTGCAGTAAGAAAATTTCGTGTGTATAACTCCATTTTTTACATGAGTAATGTATCAACCTTAACAAGGGTTATAATATGGCTATATATATGGCTATATATATATATATATATAAACTTTTATTTCGTATTTTAATTCATGAAAAAAACGAATTTCTGAAGTATTTGTATGTGCATCTTGTTTACCATATCCACTTATTTATTTATCCAACAAAATTTCAGAATTGCCTTTTGTGACAGTCAAATTCTTAACTTTCGAGGTATTATCCGTTTTGGTCTAATGGCTTTATAGTTTCGTTCTGTTGGTTTAACTTCTTAGGAGATCAACCATCTCAGGATTGCTATGACACCAGCACACTTAACCTTGGTGTTTCTTAATGCAATTCCGGCCGTTACATCAAAAGTCATCTCAATGTTTAGGAGTTTAATTTCTTTTTACTTAAAGAGTTTCACACCTTCACTGTCACAGCTATATTGACCCACATCATGAAATTGGTGATAATAAATGGGGGAAAAATACATTTACATTCAATTAATATAGAAGTAGTATATATGGCATAAAGCAAGCGAGAACCAAAATATAAGTTTACCTCTTCAAGAGCAGTGATAGTTGCTGGAGCATAATCAAGCTGACGGGCTCCATGGTTGGAAACAATAATACCAGCTGCTCCATTTTGGATGGATAGCCTTGCTGCATAGCAAGAATTGAAGAACTTTAACATGGAAGAATCAATATTTTGGTATAGAATCTTTTTAAGTTAGGCATAAATAGATCACAGAGATAGAGGAACTCTTACTATCTTCTGCAGTAACGACTCCTTTAACAAGAATAGGCAAAGTTGTGATTGATTGCAACCATTTGACATCCTAAAAGAGTTAGAGCAAAAATATTCTTAAGATGGGCCAGTTATGGATACTACTAAATGAATTTTCATAGCTGTAAGAAAAAAAAAAATCAAAGCACATATTTTATCACTTGGCAGAGCTAATTTCGCATCCAAATGAAATGGCATCAAAGGCTGTTCTTCATTAGTTAAAATGCATGACTACTAATAGGGATGAAATGCTTTAAGATAATTTGAAATTTTTTCATGGAAGGAAAAAAATTTGAGAGCATTGGATAGCATACCTTCCAGCTCAGAGATTGATCAATTTGACCAGCAACATATGATGCTAAACCAGAATCATCAGCCTGTGCAAAACCATAGGTAATTAGAAATAATCTTTTACCCAAAAAAAAAAAGTTTAATTTCTTAAAAGAGTCTCACACCTTGTCCATTTTGCCTAGGTCCAACCCCTCGAAGTTCTTGAGGGTTAAGAATGGAGGCAATGTAAACCTATATGATAGTGTGTTAAAATGCTATCTCATCTTAAAAAGGAATATGAAAGATCTGCAAAGAAAAGAATCATTTTCATTTTCTGCAAGTATGAGGCTGTAAATATGTTTAATTATTTTAAGGATTTGAGTCCAGTATTTGAGATGAATGTGGTATTTAAATGTCATGATGTTTCATTGTCATTTCAATGTGCTTTATGCAACAAGTAATCTATCGGAAAATCCATAGAAACTTAGGCTTTGTTTGTGATGACTTTCTTACTGCTTTTTAAAGCAACTTTTTAGTATAAAAATTTTAATTTTTTAACTAGAAAGCTGCTTTAAGAAGCAGAAAGAAAGCCGTCCCAAACGAAGCCTTAGACCATTGAGCTGAATTTAGATCAGAGAAAATAAAGGAAGCCATTTGCAAATCAAGTGCAAACCTGTTCTTGATGTCAGCTTCCCTTCGACCAAGTCTAGGAGTGTCTACTGTAAGGGCTATGGCTTTGAAGCCAGCCCTCTCAGCTCTCCTAACAAGCTGTTCTACGACATTCCTATCTTTGTAAACCTGAGAAGAAGCAACTTGAAAAATAAGAAACCAAAGAACAACATTAAACAAAAAAAAAAAAACAGAATACCATGATCATATAACTATGCAACTCAATTTCTGATGGGGACTATCCTATTATGCAAGGCATCATATCTTACTATACCAGCCATTACTCCTAGTCACTATCTTTTCTATTTTTGGTTGCACGTTCTCCACTTCCCTTAGCTAAACGTTTATACTATAGTAGCAATGTATTGGCGATATACTACATATACCTTACCTAGGAGTATTGGGAGATATACAGAAAATCATATTACCATATACTATTCCATTGATTTTTCATTTCTTCTTTGTATCTTGCAGGTCACCTCCGGCGGCAGCTTGGGAGATCACATTAGGTTGGTATCAGAGCGCCAGTGATCGGGGCTAATGGCTGCAGAAACTTAGCACAGAGCTTCCGACGACGATCGGAGCTTGGACGCCTTGTGGGCAGCGCAAGCTAGCACCACCCGGCAACTTAACAAATTGAGGATGGACTTCTTCTGCACCTCCATCGAACTACGAACTGAGCTACTGGATCTTAAAGCCTCAGTTAGCACTGTGCAGGGACAACCTCTACCGGAGAATGTACCAGCTCCGAGAGCTCCTCCTGGCCTGGGCGGATTTCATAGGCAGCCGCGACCTGTGTTCGTTGATGCCTCAGATTCCGAAGATGGAGCTGATTTTCATCCGCATCGTGAGAATGTTGAATCTGATTATGAAGTCTACTATTGTTATGATCGCCACAAACCTCGGGAACAAAATCACGGCGGAATAGGTGAATTCCGTGTCAAATTAGACGTACCCTTCTATGAGGGAAGGTTACACATCTAGGACTACCTCGATTGGGAACGGACTGTCAAGACATTCTTTGAGTATATGGAAATCAGTCCAGACAAACAAGTTAAATATGTAGCTTGTCGCTTGAAGGGTGCTGCCAGTGCATGGTGGCTTCAACTGTTATAATCTCGCCATCGTGAAGGTCGATAACCGGTTCAAAATTGGGAGAGAATGAAGCAATTACTTCGAAGTCATTTCTTGCCAATAGACTACGAGCAAATGTTGTAATCTAAGGTATCAAATAATGTGCACAAGGACACCAGTCTGTGAGTGATTACACAAAAGAATTCTATCGTTTGAGCGCTCGCAACAACCTTCAAGAATCGGAAACCCAACTTGTTGCTCGATATATTGGTGGATTGAAAGATCTTATACAAGATAAGGTTGAGCTTAATTATGTCTGAACATTAGCTCAAGCGGTGAATTTCGCCTTAAAGGCAGAAGCCCAATTGCAGCGTCAATCACGCAGCCATTCTACCTGCAAGCATTATGTTGATTCATATGCTAATCATGCCAAGAATAGCCTTCCTACTCCAAGGTAATCTCAGGTTCCCCGTCCCACTATTAATGTCCCTATAGCTAATCAACCTATTAATCCAGTTGAGCCGAAAATCCCAAACAAACCCACTGTCCCTTTACGGGAAAATCCCTACAGTAAACCCAATACCCTCAAATGCTACAGGTGCTTCCAACCGGGACATAAGTCTAACGAATGTCCAAATCGGCAGCAAATTCAAGTACTGGAAGGGGACGATCATATTGCTGAAGGTGAGCAGCATTCTGCGGAACAGGACTCGGACGTGGGCATTGAGGATGTGCATGCTGACGACGGTGACCCACTCTGTGTTATACAAAAACTATTGTTAGCACCTCGAACTCCAGTTCCTTCACAGTGAAATTCTCTGTATAAAACTCGTTGCACTATTAAAGGCAAAGTATGTGACTTACTAATAGATAGCGGATGCACCAAGAATGTTATCGCCTGATCCATGGTTCAAGCCATACAGTTAAAAGCTAGCATCAATCTGCATCCGTACAAAGTTAGTTGGATTAAAAAGGGTATGGAGGTAACCGTGACCAACATATGTCGTTGACACCGGCCAGGCAGGGGGCTCGACGAATCCACGTCGAGGATCCGGTGACGGGACCAAGAACTCCTTTCTTGGGGGAGGGATCACCTCCTGAAATCCTTCACGAGCTGGTGTCGACGTTGCCCACGAAATGGCACCGTTTCCAAGAACAAAGATCACGCAAGGTGTTGACAAGAAGATGAAACAGACTTTATGTTAAAAAGGGTATGGAGGTAACCGTGACCAACATATGTCGTGTTCCCTTCTCAATTGGCAAACATTATGTTTGCGAGGTGCTTTGCAACATTATTGACATGGATATCTATCACTTGATTTTGGGTCGGCTATGGCAGTATGACATGGATGCGACTTACAATTGTAGACAAAATGTCTATACTCTTGACTGGAAAGGCAAGAAGCTGCGGTTATGCCCACATACCAATTGTCCCTCTAATGCTAATAAAAGTCCAAATGCAGCGGACTCCTAGTGCAGTCCAGGCAAGACATTAATTCCATGTTGGCACTAGTTGTTTCTGATAGGTACGAGGGGTCTAAACAAAATATTGTCCGGCAAAAATCCAGGCACTGATGCACAAATTCGCGAATGTCCTTCCTCCCGAGCTGGAAATGTTTGCGGTGGTGCGAGCATTGAAACAATTGGAACGTTACTTGCTTCATCAGGATTTCGTATTAAGAACAATACCTCAACAGTCAAAAAAATATTAATCCTATGCATTCATGTGATGAATTTTCTTCAGAAATTTACTTTTGTGTTACAGCATAAGGAAAACTCAACCGGGTGGCCGACGTGCTCAGCAGGAGAGTAGCTCTACTCACACAGGATTTTACTATACGCTGACATCACCACTTATTGGGAGCAATGCATGGTTGGTAAACCTTATAAGGATTTTACTATACATCATGGATTTATGTTTAAAGCTAACAGTTTATGTATTCCCAACTCATCATGGAGGCAACACCTTATCAAGAAAACTCACTGCGGAAGCCTATTAGGGAATGTTTGCAGAGCTAAGACCATCGCCCAACTTTAGGTACGTTTTCACTGGCCTCATTTATCCAGGGACGTGTCTAGATTTATAGAGCGATGCCCAGTCTGCCAGGAATTTAAAGGCACCCACAGAACACTGGCTTATACATGCCCCTTCCCACACCAGACTCCATTTAGGAAGATCTTAGTATTGACTTCATCTTAGGACTCCCGCAAACCAAGAATAGCGTTGATTCTACTATGGTGACCGTAGACAGGTTTTTTAAAATGTCACATTTTATTCCCTATAAAAAACCTTCGACGCCATGCACGTTGTTAGACTTTTTTTAAGGAGATAGTTCGCTTGCATGGATTACCTCGTAGTATCATCTCGGACCGTGACGCAAAATTTATCAGTCATATCTGGCGAGAGTTATGGAAGTGCCTCCACACCGAAATTAAACTTAGCTTTGTGTACCACCTCCAAACGGACGGTCAAACCGAAGTTGTCAACCACACCCTTGGCAATATGTTGCGTTGCCTAGTGCAAGATCACCCTAAAAAGTGTGAAGAAATGTTAAGTCAAGCAGAGTTTGCCTTCAATTCTATGCCAAACAGATCAATAGGGCGCTGCCCTTTCAGCATAGTGTATACCAAAATGCCAAACCATTTGATTGACATCATCATCTTGCCTAAGTGCCGAAGCACGGTTACTGCTCAAACAGCAGAGGGGTTCAAACAGCAGAGGGGTTCAAACAGCAGAGGGGTTCAAAAATGTTGTGTAGGAAGTCCACGCCAAATTACAGGAGTCCAATTTAAAATACAAGCAAATTAGTAAACTCACGAAAACGTCACAAAACTTTCAATCCAGGTGACATAGTGATGCTTCGTGTTCGTCGAGAGCGATTTCCTGTTGGTACATATAGCAAGCTCAGTCCTAGAAAAATTGTGCTGTTTCCTGTCTTGAGGAAAATAAATGACAACGCATACGTCATTGATCTGTCGGCCCACATTCAAACCTCATCCAACTTCAACATTTCTGATATCCATCAATATCATCCATCAGACGATGCCAATACTTTTGTATTCTCGCCGGAAGCAAGCTCTTCCAAAGACGGGGAGACTTGATGGGGACTATCCTATTACGTGAGGCATCTTATCTTACTATACCAGCCACTACCCCTAGTCACTATCTTTTCTGTTTTTGGTTGCCCGTTCTCCACTTCCCTTAGCTAACCGTTTATACTATAGTAGCAATGTATTGGCGGTATACTACATATACCTTACCTAGGAGTATTGGGAGATATACAGAAAATCATATTACCATATACTGTTCCATTAGTTTTTCGTTCTTCCCTGTTTCTTGCAGGTCACCTTCGGTGGCTGCTTGGGAGATCACATTAATTTCAAGGGAGATCTGCACTAAAACTAGAGAGATATACTTACATATAGTTGGAAGAAGCGAATTCCTGGTCCAGTTGATGCAACCTCCTCCACGCTTGAAGTCGCCCATGAAGACAATGTCTGAAGAAAGACAGACTAAAATATCAACCATCAAATAAGCTTTTTAAGGCAAAATTTTATGATTAACACTAAGAAAAAGAAAAGTTCATAATACAAGTTGTCAGATCACCGGTAGCTTGACTACCTTATTAAGCAACACTAAAGCCTACTTCAGATGAAAAATTCAAAGACCATATTTTAGACTAAACAATATTGTTAAACACATGTACTGAAACACTCAGACATCAGCTATATATTTCCTCATCAGCTAAGTTACATACCTTTTCCTGAGAAGCGAAAGTAATATCATTAATAGAAGAGGATCCTAACTTGGTAATTAAAAAAAAAAAACTTAGTATTCTGCTGATAATATAACCAAAAGAAGTAGAGAATTTGAAGGTTTAGGAAAAAAAAAAGCCCAAGATTTAGGATTCACTTTCAAGGAAGAAATTGCAGATGCTCGTGAAATACAATCATGATATGTGCATAAAAATCTCATATACTTTCTACAATAATATGGAGACTATCCCTGTTCAATCATATCAATCATAAATAACGGCAACAAACCATAATAGTATTGGCTGCTGAGGCTGCCCTTGCAGTTGCATATTCTCCTGTGACAATGGAACATTTCAACCATCAGATGAAAAATCTAAGAAAGTATATGAAATACTAACTGAAAATAAAATAACTCAATAGCCCTCAGTAATGCAAATGTAACACAAAATTCAATCTTCCATAACATCCCCATAGATATAAGAACTGAGAGCTAATTAGAGCTTTTTAATGTAGTCCTGAATAGAAAACTTATTAAGATTCAAACAACATCCCCGGGTAAAGCTTCTTAAATAGAGTCATTACATACCAAATTTCAGTGAAGTTATTTACCTTCTGGATGAGCCATTTTCTGCATAGCGGTTGGAGCAATCATAATGGGCATAGAGATTTTGAAACCCAAAACAGTTGTGGTCATATCAATCTTTGATACATCAATAAGTATGCGGGGGCGGAACCTAGAGAATGAGGCAATTTTCATAACCTTGAGAGGAGAATTGTATGGCTAACAATAAACATTTACAGAAATATTCCATATCGCTAGTAAAGATCAGTAAACATTAAAATAATACATCCTATTTCTAAGACTGAACAAGTAAATCATATAGTTAAAGGATAGACAAGTTTATCCATTGCACATTCTAATTTTCTATTACTTCATTTGCAAGAACTACATCAAGTTCACCTTGTAAAGAAGTTGTGGTCCAAATAAGCATAAAATGTGATTAAGGCTTCATTTGGGACGGCTTTTTTATTACTTATTAAAGCAACTTTCTAGCACAAAAATAAAAAATTTTGTGCTAGAAAGCTCTTTTAAGAAGCAGTTAAAAAGCCGTCCCAAACGAAGCCTAAATTTTAAGGAAGATGGACAGATCAGTAAGGCTTCGTTTAGGACAACTTTCTTATTGCTTTCTACCACAGTTTTCTATTACAAAAATTTCTTGAAAGCAGTGAAAAATCTGTCTCAAACAAAACCTAAGATTGGGCTTTATATGGTAGTTAAGGATTATTTCTATACTTGAGCATATGCTCCTTAAAGTTTGCCTATCCGTTCTTTCAAGTCCTACAGCCAGTAGTTGGCAAAAAAAAAATTCCGAACTTTAACATCAAAGCTTGACCTATAGCAACAAAAGGACTGAGGTTTAGTTTTATGCACAAGTAATTTTGGGGCCCAATAGAAATATTATGATAATAGATTAAGATTCAAAATACATGCATTAAAAATCATGAACGCTAATTCAACTCCACCAAAGGAGTAATATTTTTTTTGGGGGAAAAACGCATCATATTCTTTCTCTGAAACAAATACCAGAAGTAAATTACAAATCATTCACACCATTAGAGCAATTCATCTAAGTAAACATTAAACATTAAGAACACAGAAAATATTTATGACAATAAGCTTACAGTATTCTCGAAAACGCTTCCCTGTTTTCTTTCAGAGTCCACTGATCCTCCGCACCTGAGGCATAGTAGTCATAAACCATTTTCGGCAACTTCTGCTTGGCTATGGCCTCATACTCAGAAACGTTGGTGATCTCCATGTTTGCAGCACTACCGCTAACTATGACCAAAAACAACACTCTTAGAGAAGAAGACATCCAAAGAAATTATGCATAGAAGAATACAATGATTGCAGTGTAAGTTGAAAAGACTAAAAAAAATCCATTTTTATAATCAAAGATGGAATTTTGATTCTTGTCCTTCATTCTAAAGAAGACAGAATCGAATTACGAGGGATTGGAAAGGAGGGGAAGAGAAGAAGGCTTACGAATCCTACAAAGAGGAGAAATGAAAACTGGAAGACTGGGGGCTCCCAGAACAAGAATAATATATGAGAGAAAGCTGATAGTGGAGTTTGGAAACCCGGACTAGGAAAGAAGGGAGAGTTAACGAGTAAGAAAGTGATGGAGATTCATGGAGAGGAATAAATGTGGGGTCGGCGCGGGTTTTTTAATCGCCGAAGAAGAGAAAATGGAGGAGTTTTGGATGAGCTTTAGGAGGTCGGAATAGAAGTTGCATCACAGACACATCCTTCTCATCCGCAAGCGGCTTCTCAAACGCACCTTTCTCATCCACAAACGTCCCCCCTATACTCTTCAAAAATCGCTTTTTTTTCTTTCCAATCGTAGAGAAACGGCAAGGAAATAAATTGTTTCCAAACACTTTTTTTTGTCTTTTGGTAGAACCCAGATGGAGCTAAAAATAAAGTGAATGAGCTTGCACATGTACCGGGATGGTAAAATTAGTATCTACTGTTCTAAAGCATAAATCTCAATGCCAAGCATAGGTAACAAGTTAAATGAGAGCATAATTTTAGTTAAATTGATCAAATTGGACATTAAATAATTTTTGATTAGATGCATCATATTGAGGTGTATTGCATTCAAATTGCTCAATTTGGATGCCCGAAAAAGTCTCAACCAGGATATTAAAAAAAATTAGATTAGATACATCATATTGAGATCTTACACATCCACCATATATAAGCGTGCAGTGAATCATACATAAGAATTTTCTCTTGAGAAATTTTTATAATGTACTAATTGTACACGTGATAACTTAAGCTTCATCTCAGACATCTTTTTTACTATTTTATAGTATAAAATTTTCTTAAGTTATAAATATTTGTATTAAAAAAGTTCTTGCATTAAAAAGCAGAAAGAAAAATTGTCTCAAATGAAACCTCAATCATATATATGATTAATATCAATTCATGATTGTTGTGATTGGTCTAGCTTTATTGTTATAATTCCTTAGGTCCATCTTATCTAATAAAGCCTCTATATATAAAGAGAGGTTGTAACATGTTTTATATTCAAGCCAAGCAATAAGAGTTCATCATCATCTCTCTCTCTCTCATCCAAGAAGTTGAAGAGGAACTTTATCATCCTCCCAAGACAATACAACAATGATTTACAATGGTTTTAAGGCTCCCATTTGAGGACAAGAACGAGATCTTTTCATGAAAACTTTATTGGTGTGCATGTAATACATTAATATTATTGGAGTAAAGTAGCAACAAAGAGAATCTTATAAAAATAATCAACTAATTAAATGATACAGAAATAATGAAACATGGAATCTCTATTCTTCTTTTGTTATACCATATTTCAATATTTACATAATAGCGTATTATTTCACGATTGTATCAAATATAACAAATAAAAAGCTGAGAGTTTGCTATGAAACAAAAATAAAATAATGCAGGTATTACGGGTAGTGTTGGAGACTTGGCGTGGCAACATTTATAAGTTGCACCACTTTCAAACTGTCATCATAGTCCCCAAATTAGATGACACACATCCATATCAAGAATGTCATAGAGAACCTCATACTCATAGTGTTTGTCGATTGACAAAGATGAAACAAAACGTCCGAGATCACAATTTTCATAGAGAACCTCACACTCATCCCTCTCTAGATCTCTCTCTTCCATGAAGACTCAAGAAAAGCTGCTTCTTCCTCAAATTTCTAACATATCATCTCATGGGAAACCTACAAAAATTTTATTGGAGCCGAAGTTTAGCCTTGAATACGAAATTAACTGCCTGCAATAGTGACTAAACATGATCAAGCTGAGTCAAAATGATCACAATAAGGCAAAATCATAGGTAATCTAGATCTTTTATAGCTTAGGCTCAAGGCAATAGAAGTAATTTCTTTTATTATTTTTCAATTTTTTTCATCCCTCTTCCCTATCTTTCCAACTTGAAGTTAAGATATTAAAAATTATTGGCCTTCAAATATATTTCATATAGCCAACCCACAACAAATGATGATCATCAGATGCTACATCACACAAGTCCAGCTCAAAAGCATCACAAATATCAACAGCAATAAATTCATGAATCACTTTAAATTATTTGAGAAAATTTAAAAAATTTCACCCATGCATGCTTACATTTGTGGATCTATAGCGAAGGTCATAAGGGCATGGGCTCCCACTGGGGGTGTAAATGAGCCGAGTCGAGCTCGAGTCATATTCCTGGCTTGAGTTTGTACTTGATTAATTAATCGAGCTTGAGCTTTATTCTACGAGTTCGAGCCGACTTGTTTATTATGAAAGAAAGAAAATAATTATGATTTAAATAATTAGTATAATAATAAAATGATAAAAAGAATGAGAAATTATAAGAACAATAATAAATAATTATTTAATATGAGAAATTATGGTACAATTTTAAATATTTTTAGCAAATTTGTATTTAAAATTCTGAATTCTAATATATTTTAAGTATATTTTATACCAATATTTTTTAAACAAGCTAACTCGAGAGCTTACGAGTCCAATCAGGGATAGCTGGTTAGCTCATCAAACTCGGCTCATGAGAGATCGAGTAGGCTCATGAGTCAACTTGACTCACTTACACCCCTAACCCCCACTAACCCACCAAGAAAATAATAAAAAATCTTCAGTCTATAATAGTTCATTTAGAAGTAAAGAATATATTCTATTATAGACTAGTATTTTAAAATTGAAAAGATAATACATCTAGGGATCGAACACAAAACCTTTAATTCTTCAGACCAACAATTTGTATTAACAATGACAAATTCAATTAAAATCAAATAGATATTACGCCCACTATTTGATTTCGACCCGTTCTCTATGACATCGAAATCAACTCTCAATCCAAAAAGAAAAAGAAAAAAAACTTAAAAAATCTATCCCTCCAACAAGAAATTATTATGTGTGGATGTCAAATTCAGTTCATCGTCCGAGCGCGGTACCGAACGGAGGTAACGTGTGCTTTCTGATTATTTAATATAAAAATTTAAATAGCATTTATAATAAAATAATAAAAAGAATGCAAAAATATAAAACATAATAATAATACAATTATTTAATATAAAAAATAACTTTTAATTATTTTAAATAACTTTATATTTATAAATTTTAATTTTAATATATTTGATATTAATATTTTTTAAACAACTCCCCTTACAAACTAACAAGTCAAAATTGGCTCAAATATTTAAATGCACAGAAATACCACCAAATGACCCATACTTCCAACATAAACAAGACAAAGTTTGGCACTTTCTGATTTCTGATCTGTACTTTACGTGAAGCTGCTACCCTTTCAAGTTTCCAAACCCGAGCTCCACAACTTCTTGTCTACTTCCCAACAAAATAATAGCTAAATATTGCAGCATGGCAGCCAAAGCAGAGACATACAGTGAGTTCTCTTCAAAGAAATGGCAGTCTCCAATCTTTTCTCCACTGCAACAATACAGCTCTCATACAGCCAAAGTCATCACTATGGCCATTGCCTGAAGACTCAACTGCCCGAGGAAAATTAGACCAAGCTCGTGCCATGAACCAGTTCCTCCATTACCATTCGAAGAAGGTTTTATTTTGAGATCACCAGTTTCTTCATCGCCATTGTTTCCTCCCAAGCTCTTGTTTCCAATTCGACCGTTATTAACCGTTGAACCCAAGCAAGGAGGCGCTTCAAGATTAAAGGAGTTTTCCTGATACTTGTGGACTTTTGTACACAAACCATGGTTATCTCTCACATCCAATCTCTTCCCCAGTCTCCTCACAAACTCCTCAGAGAAGCCGATTTCTCCGCTTAGTTGGTTCTGGCTTAAGTTGAGCTGACCAAGTTTGGGAAGTGATTCCAGACTTTCTGGAACTGATCCGTTTAGACTGTTTTTATCCAGTGAGAGAGCAGTGAGGCTAACCAAAGATGCAAAGAATGAAGGGATGGATCCTAAAAGCCCACACCCTGAGATCCCAATCACCTGCAACTTTTTCAAACCACCAAGAAATAGTGGAATGCTGGTATTGAGTGGGTTGTTTTCCATCAGAAAATACTCTAATTCGTTCAATTTGGAGAGATGATCAGGCAACGGTCCAGTTAAGTTATTATTGCTCAAGTCCAGCAGAACTAAATCCTTCAACTCTCCGAGCTCCGGAGGAACTCTGCCTGAGAGATAATTGAGGCTGAAATCGATCTTCTGAAGAGAATGCAGGCAGCCAATAGAAGCAGGGAGCTCCCCCTGCAGCTCATTGGAGGAAAGGTCGATAATGCGGAGGCTGGAAAGCTCGCCAATCTCCACTGGTATCTCCCCGCGGAAACGATTATAGCTGAGGTCCAGCTCCTGCAAGCTCCGTAAGCTTCCGATCTCCTCTGGTATGACGCCATGGAAGGCATTCTGTGAGAGGCAGAGCACTCTGAGTCTTTTCAGTTTGGATACAGAGCTGGGGATTTCGCCAGTCAGGCCCGTGTTTGCGTCTAGAACCAGTTGCTCCAAAGAGGAGGAGTTGGTGAAAATGGATGGAGGGAGAGAGACAGAGTTGGGGGACAGGAAGCAGCCAAAGAGAGAGAAGGTTTTGAGGAATGGGAGATGGAGAAGAGCATCAGGGGAGAGAAAAGCAGAGGGCTTGCAGGGTGGGGAAGGGGAGACGTCAGCGCCCACGTGGATTCCGGTGACATGGAGAATGCCCGCGTCGCCGGCAGCAGCCTCGCATTGGATCCCAGGCCACGGGGTGTCAGTGCAGGGATGCGGGTGAAGCTCAGCCCAGCCAGGTTCCGCAACAAGGCCGCCAACGAGGTCCAGGAGCGCAACGAGCTCATCCACTGGCATCGCCGGCGAGTGGAAAACAGAAACAGAACAAGGAAGGAAGGCGAGCAGAAAGAGAAAGATGATTCTGGCAGCCATGGAGAAGGGGAGCAGTGAATGATTAGAGTGGAGTGAAAAGTCCCATTTAAAGAGAAAGGGTTACTGTATAAATGATGGATGTGACGAGGGCTGGCTTTTCCACTACAATTTTTTTCTCTTTGAATTCATGAACTGTAAAATACGAAAAAAAGAAAAAAGCTGGAGAGAATATTTGTATATTTCTAGGGTTAGGGTTTAGGGCTGATGAGGAAAAGAAGATGCTTTTGGAGGAAGAGCGTGATCGATCAGTTTGACGAGACTATTCTTCGGCAGTGGATGGATGGTGAAGGTTTAGCGTTCGTGACGGTGTTACCTGTAGGGTGAAGCAGGATACAGTAGCACGAGTTCGCACGAGTTCGCACGTGGGGAATGGTGAAAATCTTATTTATTTATTTATTTTTTTAAATAAGTGTCGGAGATCTCAAGAGCTATGGAGAGGGGGGTCATAGTTTTTTATTGTTCATAAGCATGTGAGTCCCCGTCATGATTTACTCTCTCATTCTTTAATGCAGTCCCTTATAAGGATCAAGATAAATTTGAGCTCCATTATTTTAAACTTTTTGAACTATTTTAATATTGGAGAAATTATTACATGCCAATATTTTTTTTTCTTGCGAAAATTAGCGGCTTAGCCCATTCATTAATCATAAAAAGGAACAATTACAAGTAAGTAAAAGAGTAAGGAAAAAAGTGAGCAACAGTACTCAAACAAAAAGGAGCAAGTGCTCAACAGCAACAACAATGCTAAAAAGCTAGAGCTATGGCAAAGCCCAATAAAGAAGGATAAAAAAAACAAAATGCCTGGACTCAGGTATAAATTAGCTCTCACAAAATGTTGAGTCATAAAAAATTGGATCCCTTGGTTGCCCGAAGGCCGTCCAAAGAGATGCCAGGATAGGAAAACATCATCGTCCGAGGCATCAAAAATCCCATCCAATTAAGCCAAAAAGTCGCACCATCAATTCTCGAAGGCAACCCGATTGTTACAGAACTGTATAACCAGCACCAAATCCTGATGAAGACAGTCCAGCAAAGCAAGTCTTCAAGCAGAAAACCATCCCAAGCATTCAGATTGGCCACATTCCCAAAATATAGCAGAAAAAACAGAGGAAGCTCCAGATTCACAGTAATCCCAATAACAAAAAGAAGGCTAGATAATCTCATACAACCGCAAACTACGGCATCAACAAAAAATGCCAGATTCCAAAACCATAACCATAGCCTTAACCAAAAGCTTCCAGAACTCTTCCGGCCACCATCAACATTCCGAATCCAATCCCTCAAATACAACACAGTGAATTGCATATTAATGCATATGGTTAAGCATTTCCTTAAAAATGTCCCCATTCTTCCAGAAATAATTTTTTTGAGAAACAGCCTTAATTATAAAGAGACGAGTAGTGCTACTACTACAGAATTTATTCCCGAATTTCCTTGAGTTTCTCTCCTTCCAAATAAAGTAAACAGAGCACCAAAGAAGAAGAGGATAGAAAGTATGATTGCCCGTCATTGTAAAATTCTCGTCACCCAAAAAGTTAACAGTTTGTTGGAGGTTCGGTCTCAGGAGAAATGAGTTCATAGTAGGGATAAGTTTAACAATAATAGCATGAGTGTAATCAAACTCAAAAAAACAAATGTGAAACACTCTCGTCATAGGAATGACACAAACAGCAAATAGAATTGACAGGAATGCACCTCTTGTTCAAAACATCAGTCATTTTAAGGCCTCCTACCAAGCTTAACCAACCAAAAACAAAAAATTTTAGAGCAAAAAGCTTATGCCATAAAACTTTATACCAACTAACATCTGCTTCATTAGTATAAAAATGACTTAAGAAGTCACAAAATCTTCCTGTTTTACCATTATTCCACAACAAAAACACACCATCTTGATGAATTGGGCAAGATTGAATCAGACTACGGATAGGATCAGTAACAGATGCAGGTATGTGCCAGCCTGCAGCTCCAATTATGACAGAAACCGAGTTGGCAGGAAAAAAATCCCACAAAGAAGAAGCATAAGGGAGACTAGAAATACTAAGCCCATTACACCAATGATCCCAAATCAAGGAGACAGGGGATGCAACAGTTATTTTAAAAACAAAATTAGCTTTGGCTTTTATAGCAGATTCACAAATCAATTTCCACATAGGAGACCAAACTTCCAACAGGTTTCAGGGAGAGGTATAATTGTGTAAAAACCAGGTAGCAAGGGGAGATTGAGTATTGTATATTCTAGATATGATGGAGCAAGAGTTGGCAAAGCGAATAGCATTCAGAGAAGGTAAGCCCAAACCTCCAGCCATCTTAGGCTTACAAGTGTTTCTCCAAGATATAAGATGCAGCTTCTTAGCAGTAGTATCACCAGAATATAAAAATCTAGCAGCCAATTTGTCAATCTGCTTACAACAACTCTTAGGTATAATGGCTCCTCGAATCCAGGAAGCAATGGTGTTCCAAATGGTATATCGAATGAATTGAAATCTACCTGCAAAAGAAAGGAGCTTTTCTTTCCATCCAGGAGCTTTGCATTTTTGATTTCTCTCCACTCATTGATGTTATTTCTAACATGCCAATATTTGATACATAGATACATTCGAACTTCAATAAAAATATGACGCGTGGGCAAATATATTACTAGATATTATTATGTATTAATATGTATTAGTTGTATATTAATATGTATTAGCGTATTATTGTGTACTAGTTAATACATAGCAATACTTAGCTAATGCACACTAATACAAAATAATATCGAGTAATACATTAATCGACACATCATATTTTCATTGGAGTCCGAGCATAGCTCTACATCTGATGTCCGCACGTAATAATTTCTTCTAGCATTATGTTGATCATAGCTTTCCGAGCAGAACAATCTTTGATGCTAAAGCTATTTAAATCAATATGAAGAATGAACCTTGTAATGAAAAATGGAGACTTGATTTGAGAATCTGATTAGGCATTTGAATAATGAGAAGATAATGATATGTAAAAAAGTTATAAGCTTCATCTCTTATTTTACTTGAAATCTTATTATTTTGTGGATCGGTTTGTTTGAAAATTAGGAGATTGGTGGATTCTCTTTCTTATGTTTTAATCATGGTGGCAAAACTTTTTTCAAATCGATATTTGAAGATTTTGTTTGTGACAACTTTTTTACTGTTTTCTAAAATAATTTTTTTCTAGTATAAAATTTTTTAGCTCAATAAATTTTTGTATTAAGAAATTGTTTTAAAAAACAATAAAAAAGCTGTCTCAAACAAAGCAGAAATTTGAGTTTCACTTTAACAATAAAATGGTAGGATTAAAATAAATCATAAAATACATATTTTGATTGTCTCTTTCACAATTAAAATCCTGAGATTAATATTTGATTTTTTTTCTTAATTCCATCATTCCCAATAGAGCTATTTCACTAAACTCTCAACAAATGTCAAATACATTTGTAATTTATTTATTTTTATTTTTTATTTAATCAGACACATTCATAAAAAAACACTAATTTTTTTAATGTTACATAATATCAATAAATTATAGCTTCTCACACATTAACAAAATTGTTGCGTCCAGGATCTTCGCGGCGGTAGAGAAATATAAAGTTTATCGTCTTAGCGTTGTGCAAAAATCCAACACACAATCAGATAAGAGAGAGGGTCTAGCATTTATGAGACACCAAAATTTTAACGTGGAAAACCCCTAAAAAGGGGGAAAAGCCACGGGCCTAGCCCAATTTGAATGAATCTACTAGTATTGTAGTCGATTACAAATGAGGCCCTTTCTTTGAGGAAGGCGTTTGTTTGATGTACATTATATGAAGTATATTACATGTTGGGAATACAAGTAGTTACTGTTGACGTATTCGCTTTGTTGGAAGGATTGTAGTCAGCGGGCGACGTAAGTTAGGAGGACCATAGTCAGCAGGCGACGGAGGTCGGAAGGACTGTAGTCGGCGGGCGACATAAGTCAGGAGAACCGTAGTCGGCTGGCGACAGAGGTTGAAAGGACTGTGTCTGACGATGAAGATCAGAAGGACGGCGTTAGGGAGAAGTCTAACGATGGGAAGAAATCCATCTTTGAATAAACGTCCAGCGAAAGTCCGATAACCGGTAAAAGTCCGACGTCGGGTAGAAACTTGGCGAAGAGTGAAGGTCCGACGTCGGGTAGAAGTCCGACGTCTGTTGTTGGCTGAGGAGAACTCTGGCATCATTTGAGCGGAGTTTTGGCGTCAGGAGGGAACTCTGTCGTTAATTGGGAAGAATTTCATAATCCCGTGGAACTTGGGCAGAATTCTGGCGTCCCGTGGAAGTCAGGTAGAATTCCGGCATTCTCCCGAATATCCAGCAGAATCCCGACGTGTTCGGGCGGCGAGAAGAATTCCGGCGGTGGTCGAGGAAGAGTTAATTCTCCTTCCCCTTCTCTTCTTCTTCTCTTCTTCTCTCCCTTGCTTCCCCTCATGAAAAATGAGGGGTTTATTTATAGATTTTCTGGAGTGGCATGGCTTGTAAATAGGTGTGAGATCAGGGGCAAATAGGGAGTGGTTGAATGGACGGCTGATATTGAATTCTTCGATCATACACCATTCGTTGGACATTTGAAGGTCTTAGTGATCTCGGAATTCATTGATCTTGTGCTCGTTGGATTCATCTCGTCGAGCCGCTCGATTCGACTATAAGCCTGTCAAAATCGGAGACCATTTGGCAACTCAAATTGTGGTACGAACTATCCAACAGCGCTTCGGGTGCTTGATTTGGGCTCAGATTGAGTTAAATTTGGTGTCGTTGGGTTCGTATTTCCGAGACGCTCAGTTTGACTGTAAGCTTGATGAAATCGGAGTTCAGGTGCTCCCGGATTTAATTTTTGAAGTTTCCGTGTTGGGTGCCTCGAGATTCGTGCCCGATCAAGATAATTTTATGTTGACGTATCAAAAATAATTATAGCTTCTCAGATATCAAAGCTGTAAGTGTTCGAAACAATGGTAATAAGATAAGTAGAATCCAAATTGGCTTAGGCCCAACTTAATTTTCCTAAAATTTTAAAAAATATTTTTAACATTTTCTTGTCAAATCTTTTTAGATCTATCTCTTTCTTTCGTAGAATAGGTCAGATCTAATACATCGAATATCCTAAAAAGATCAACGAATGCTGACATTTTATATGACCAAATCATCTAAGACAACTCTCTAATATATATTGTCTGTCACTAGAGCTACTCCAAGCATTTCAAGCATAAATTTATTTCATATTTTATCTCTAAGTATAAAGCTTTTCATCCACCTCAGCATCCTCATCTCTTCAACTTTTAGTTTTTTTTTTTTTTTTAATGGCCAACATTCTACACTATAAAGTATTGCAAATCTATAATCCTAAATATTTGAAGGAAGGACATGTCTTAAAAATAAATTTATCTGTTAGATTATCTTTTATTTGGTTTAAAGTAGCTAATTAATATGAATTTTCAATTTGTAAATACTTTTTAAAATATATTTAAAAAAAATAAAAACTTTGTTTTAATTCTCAAAATACTTAAATTGTTCTTTTAAATGCAATCAATCAAATAAGCCATATGCAGCGTATAACAATATATTTGAAGAAGGTAAGTGGACAAATTTGTAATCAAACAGACAGTCACAGCGTTGGCAACAGTGGAGTGAGGACTGAGGACCCCCCCTTCAGTCGTGCCGGGTTGTCGGTATTGTACAGGAAAGGGATCAGCTGAACAGCTCTCTGAGTAGAAAATTTTACTATTTTAATACATGTCCGGTTAGATTTGCCCGAATTTAATTAGTCAGGATGCCATGAAAGTGAAGAAGGTGAAGAAAGTGAAAGGGTTTCAACAAGTTCATGATTTTTTAGTCAAGCGGCAAAAATCAACAATTTTCAGCTAAGTTCGTGCTGGCCAATTATTACGTGCTCTGACCGGACGTCTAGACTGGAACCTGGGAATGCTATGTTCGCGTATTGCGTGGTATTACTCGGTATTTGCTCGGTATTGCTCGGTATTGCATGGCAATAACGAGAAATACCGCTCTGTGAAGACCAATACCACTCTGTGAAGACCAATACCGAGCAAATACCGAGTAATACCGAGTTGTACTGAGTTTTTCTAGACAATTCGGTATTTGCTCGGTATTGATTATTGTCAAGCAAAATCGACCAATACCATGCAATACCGAGTAATACCGAGCAATACCTAGCAAAATCGAGAAATACCGAGCCATCCTGGGTCCGTTCCGGATCGGGTTGTCGGGGCACGCGGTAAATAGTGAGAACGCGTTGCGCGATTCTACTGGCGGCCGAACGTAGAGCTACGTCCTGTGACCGGACCAAATAAAAGTTTTTACTGATGAAAAACTTTTTAAAAAAGTTAAACTTTTATTGATGAGATGAATTTATTGCATTTTTACTGAGTATTTGCTACGCTTTTGTAAATTTAAATATTCAATAAAAGTGCAGCAAATATTCAATAAAAACTTATTTGTTGAGTATTTGATGTGCTTTTAATGAATATTTGCCTATTGCATATTTACTAAATAGTTAAATGTTTGCTACACTTTTACTGAATATATGTAAAAATATAGCAACTACTCAATAAATATGCATTCATAATTAAATATTTGTTGTATTTTTACTAAGTATTTGTAAAACACAGCAAATCTAGACGGTTCTCTACGTCCGGTGTCCGGACAAAATAATCTCTTCGCGACTAGCTCGTGTTCAGCTCATTTGTCATGAATGTATTGTGCTATAATTTTTAAACGTGCGGAGGATAAATTGACATTTGTTCGATTGTGTTCGAGTCATTAATGGTTCGGATACAAATAATATATGCACTTTGAATTTTCAAGTGAAGAACCATTAGAAATTTGAATGATCCAATCATGAACACAAGTACTTATGTGTAGAGTTGAACACACTGAAGTCGCCAACTCAACTATGCAGCTTTCTCGAAGATTTAGTCCAGTTGATCAGAAGTACTTATGTGTCAATAAGAGGTATTAATTGTTAAGAAGAATAACTCGCTAATGGAAATTGTCTCATATAACTAGTACGAGAAAACAACTTCAATGTAGAACTCAACAACTACTTGCAATACTCTTCGACAGCCACCTAAGAGTGTTAATATTTGATCTGGCTCGAAACTCGAACCGAACCTTGATCCGACCAAAAAAATTTCGTGTTTGGTTCAACCCGTTTTACAAATGGGTCAAATTCAAGTTTTATTTTCTGACCCGTTTCAAATTTTGGATTTGCTTCGGGTCAACCCAAAAAACTTAAATCAACTCATTTCTGGCCTGAAATCAACCATGTCACCCGACTCACCCCTTGCATGAAATAGTCCCGTTTGTGCTCGCGCCCACACCTGCGCCAACTGCCTCGCTCGCCCGCAACTCCCACGCCCACTCTCTCTCTCTCGACCCGCATAGCCCCCGCTGGTCAACGCCCGCACTGCCGCGCTTGCCAGCACTGCAGGCTCACCTACATTGACGATGCTCGTCAGCGCCCACATGACCTAGCTGCTTGTAGGTTAGAGGGTTGGGTTGGGTCAACCCGGGTTATAGATGGATCGGGTCTAGATTTGGATTTCTGACCCATTTGCTTAATTGGGTCAGGTCAATTGAAGCTACGTCAATTTCAAATTGGACCCGAATCTGACCCGAAAACTCATTTTGACACCCTACAACAAACAACCAACCATAATTTCCACTTCATAGCCAATTTCATTAAAAATATTTTATGTTAATTTCATGTATTTTTATATATATATATCATGTAGCATTGAACTTTTAACTAAAAAACATAAATGAGAGAGAGATTGAGCTCAATATATGGTTATGTCACATCAACTTCGAACTTTATGTACACTAAAATCTAGAAAGATCACATGTTTCTCTCTCTAGATTTATCGATCTCTATTGTATGCTTAATAAGATCATGTTGTCATCCACATGCACTTGGATCAAATTTTTCTCACCATGCTTCTACTCTCAATTCAGTAGTTCGAGACTTCTAAGACAATTAAGACAAATTCTTAAACGTATCACATACATAAATTTTAAACCTAAGAGTTTTTTTATTGATAGTCAAAGCTCAAAACCAACAGATAAAGATGAGTTACATATCACTCAAACAATAAACAACATAATACCAAAAGATCATTTTCTTATATTTTATAACAATTGTGATTTTATATAGACATTTTTGTCAAATTGATATTTTTAAAGATTATTAAATTTAAATATCATTTTTTATTCAATTAAATATTATTAAAATCTAAGTAGTATTTAAAAACAATTAAATAATGATATATTTAAGAACATAATAAAGAAGGTTGAAAAAAAATAAGCATATCAAAATTTAAATATGTTTTTAGATAATTAATTAGCATATTATTTAAGAACATAATGATATATTATTAAAAAAAAAAGATTTCAACTGGATTGAGGTAGACCGTGGACCGGTGACTGTAGACCGGAGGCTATTGGGCTAATTTTTTTCCTACTTTTCCAGCCTTTTCCAATGTGATGCAAGCCATGACACACGTTCGATGGAATTCCGTCGAAGAATTAATTGGTAAACAAGGCAAGGCATGCCGTTAGGAAGTCTATATATAATAACTCTGCTTCCCTCAGCTCTTTACTCAACTTGGCATTTTGTCGAACAAGTAGCCTTCAACCGAACTTCGGAGAAACAGAAATGGCGGTACCAGAGAAGGGAGTAAAATTGCTGGACTTCTGGATGAGCCCTTTCGGGCAGCGATGTAGGATCGCGCTAGCGGAGAAGGAGGTGGAGTATGAGCACAAGTTGGAGGATCTATCAAAGAAGAGCGATCTATTGCTGAAATCAAACCCTGTGCACAAGAAGATCCCCGTCCTTATCCACAACGGGAAATCCATCTGCGAGTCCCTCATCATCGTCGAATACATCGACGAAGTCTTTCCCGGCAAAACCAACATCCTCCCATCAGATCCCTACGCGCGATCCCATGCCCGATTCTGGGCCGATTTCGTCGACAAGAAGGTAAAACCCGCACATTCCCTTCCCCACCCCTGTTTCATCGGCGCCGGATTATTCTAATCCTTCATACGAATTAAATCCATGGCTGGGCAGGTCTATGACAGCGGATCTAAGCTGTTGAAGTCAAAAGGCAAGGAGCTGGAGGAGGCGAATAAGGAGTTGATCGGGATCTTTAAGACGCTCGAGACGGAGCTCGGCGAGAAGAAGTACTTCGGCGATGATGCTTTCGGTCTGGTAGACATCGCGTTCGCGCCATTCACGTCGTGGTTCTACACCTTCGAGGCCTTTGGTGGCTTCAGCGTTGAGAAGGAATGCCCCAAGCTGGCGGCGTGGGGGAAGCGCATCAAGGAGCGGGAGAGCGTTGCCAAATCTCTGCACGAACCAACCAAGGTTTACGATTTATTCTGCGAGATCAGAAAGAAGTTCGTGGACGCGTAAAATTCGATTGTAATGCTGATGGGTTTTAGATTGTTTTGAATAAGTATAATCCCGCTTCGGATTTTTCTTTAAATAAAGTTGTTTTGTTATACTAAGATCCGCTTAAGTTTTATTTATTTTTATTTTTTATTTTTTGTTTATTTTTATGTATTTCTTTTATACAATCGATCACGATCTATGCGGCTGACTGCTCCCATCAGGAGAAATTATAAGTGCGGTCACCTGAGGCGAATTAGACTGCGCCACGTCATCATTTTGTTGTGTAACGATGTTGTGTGCCGGACGACGTGACGCATCTTGATTCGCCTACAAACAGTTCGGTGACTGCACGTAATAATTTCTTCCCCACCACTGAGTATTGCATGCTACTTCCTGTTGCCGTAGGCGATCGCCGCCTATCATTGACAACCACACTGAGTCATCACCATCACCATGATCATATAAAAATAAAAATAATATATTTAATGATATTAAAGAATTTTTATATAAAATCAAAATAGAAATAAAGTAAATTATATTAAACAATTAAAAAAAAATCAAACCTTAATGCCTTTAATAAAAATATTTATGAAAAAGTTATTTCATGCCCGCTCTACATCTTAAGCAGAAGCAATGTCCAGATAATCCACATCTTCAAGAATAAGGTAACTCAAGAACAATTTCAAATTTCTGATGGGAAGTTTCATTCACCTATATGAATATATGATGTTTTATACCCAAAGGATGGTCCGGGCAAATTATCAGGTCTGGAAATCAAACAGAGAGAATCATTCAAATTTTTTTATCTACAATAAAAGAGCAGTCAAAGCGCAGTCAAAATGCATCTGCTACAATAACTGCTCTTTGACTACGCTTTTATTATAGACAGAGAGAAATCCGGATGATTCTCTCTGTCTAGTGTCTAAATCTAATAATTTCTCCAAAGAATGAGTATAATAATTCTTAAATTTTAAAAGAAATATTCTGATCTATACCAGTAAAAAATTATTTCATGAGTCATTATAAATTTAACATTATAAATTTAAATTGCAAACCGTCTTCCTCATAACATAGATTTTTTTTTTCTCTAATTATAATAATTTTTCTCTGATTTTTGGGCATTGATGTAATTCCTTAGTTAATCGATACAAGTTAGTATAAGTGAGATTTTTTTGGATGCTAAGTGTAAGTTTTGCAAACCAATTTCACTCAATTATTTTAGATATGTTTAACTAATTTATTAATATTTTTTATAATTTTTTGTAGGGCTGCAAACGAATCGAACCGAGCTGAGTATGTGAGTGTTCATGTTTGTGTTCATTTAATATCAGCTTGTACAAGTTTGGTTCATATTTGTTCGAACTTTATTGTTTGTGTTCATGTTTGGTTCATTTAAATTAATGAGTGTTTATGTTCGATTCATGTTCAGTTCATATTCGTTATCGAGCTTGTTCGCGAACATGTTTAACAATTTTTTTCTAACTATCAAATTAAACAAATGCGTTCATGAATATATTTATGAAAAAACACATTTATAATAAAAGCAATTGTCTATGTAACAAAGGCAATGATTATTTATATTTATTAAATCTACAGTCAAATATTAATTATTTGTATCAAGCTTATTCACGAGTTCAAAATCGAACACGAATCGAGCTTAATGTCGAGCTTGTTCACGAACTTCAAATGATGTTGTTCGTAAACATAAATGAGCCGAACACATTAGTGTTCAAGTTTGTTTATTTAAGAATCGAGTATTTAAAATATTGTTCAAGTTTGTTTGTTTAGTTAATTAAACGATCACAAACGAGCTTTAATCGAACCGAACAACGAGTAGCTTGTCGAACGTTTGGTTCGCTTGCAGCGCTAATTTTTTGATCTCATATTTGAAGATATAAAAAAATTTATACCAATAGTTGAACAACTGACATAATGACCAATATGTCATTCGATTATTTTATTATAAAAAAATTCTGCTTATAAATAAAAAGTTTCTAAATTACCATTCCATACTCATTTCGCTAACATAGAACGGGGAGAAATAAGGAAAAATAGAAGAAAAAGATACTGCATAGAAAAACAAAGCTAGAGATTGAAATTCAAAGAGACATTTTTGCTAGTCATTACGATTAGAAAATTTGTTTATCTCGGGATAATCAAACTATGTCTATCTCAATTTTTTAAAACATATAAATTTTTTTCTTAATTATTTTATTAAAGTTTTATTTCTATTATCAAACAATGAGGATAACTTTGTACTGGACCGTGAAATTTTTTATATATTATATAGATTTGGATTTTTAATATTTTTTGAAATTTTTATGTGAGGACTTTTGGGAATTTATATGGATTTAATCGAATAAAAAATAATTTAGACTTTAAAAAATAATGTTTGTAGCACAATTAAAATTTTAAAACGGTATTCTACACAATATGTAGTAATTTGATCATTTTCTAAAAATGCGTATTTTTGTTTAGTATGGTTTTCCGTTGCCTAACATTATAACATTTTAAAAAATTCTGAAATGTGTTTCTTTATGCATCATTTAGTATTCTTCACTGAAATATGTGAAATTTGTACTTAATTAGTTGAAATGAGCGATTCTATGAAAATCTGACTTCAGAGTTGTTGAACTCTGTCTATTACTCAGAGTTTTTGAACTTTATTTGTTATTCAGAGTTGCTAATTGTCAAACTCTGCCACCTACTTAGAGTTATTAAACTCTGCATGTCGGGAGGTATAAGAGTCAGAATTATTGAACTCTGTTTGTTGGGAGAAAATATGAAGTGCTTGTGTATTTGTAATAAATTTTGTATAACCGTATTTAATTTTTTGCTTAGTTCCATTTTTAATACTTAGTGAATGTTTAATAAATGGAATTATTAAAAAAATTAGATCATTTGAAATGTGGTATGCTGAGCCATTTTCGCTCAGTGTAGTTTAATAAATAAAATGATTGTATATGTCTTTTTGATGATGAAGAAAAAATAAATCTTCTTGATAAATTTATTTTCATTCGTTTGGATGTTTTAATTGCTTTGTAGTCTTTTTTTTTTTGTTTTAAAAGTTTAAATTGGAATGAAATCTGAAAAAAAAAAATTTAAAACTAGATCTTATGATTTAACTTTTACAACTTAAAATAACCTTTTAGTTAACGTTCAAAATGGATGTGGGTTGGATCCTTGGAAGAAGAGGATGCTTGAAGGATTTAATCTCAATCCAGGGAAAATGGCAAACACAAAGCTTCAAAGCTTTAAAAGAGAGTAATATTTCATTCAATATCCCTTCCTCTTACACATTCCACATACATATAATGCCCAAATAGAGATAACCTGGATAATGCTAGAAGATTCTAGAAAACATGAAACAAATCTATAACAAACTACATAGAATAACCTAAGGAACAAATTAAGCTATAATGTTCCACATCAAAAAATTTTAAGTTTTGTACTACAAAACTGCTTTAAGAAGTTGCAAGAAAGCCGTCTCAAACTAAACCTAAATCATTCGAATTGATTAGATGCACTCCCTTAGGCTCAAGATAAAAAATATAATGATATTATTTATAAGAATAGTAACATAAAAACAGACATAAATAATTTTTCTAGAAAACTCATCAAATACCCTTAATAAGAGGAAATCCCTAAGCTTCATCTTTCATCTCCTACAAAAGAATATCTTATATAGTTTCAATCCAACATGACTCTATAATAAAACTCACTATGTGTTTATATGCATTAGAATATGCATCTCTAAATGATTTTGTGAGGGAAAATAAAGGTCCATAAGCTTCAAATTTAATTGCATAATTGAAGATATTAATAATTATAAAGCGCCCCAAACTACAATCCTAGCATAGGAGCTTCAATGAAAGGTTGAGTGAACATCATTCATATATATTTTTGATACGTCATCATGAAATTATCTTGATCGGGCACGAATCTCGAGGCAAAACCCAAACTGGAAACTTCAAAAATTAAATTCAGGAGCACGTGAACTCCGATTTCAGCGAGCTTATAGTCGAACTGTGCGTCTCGGAAATACGAATCCAACGACTCCAAATTCGACTCAATCCGAGCCCAAACGAGTCCAAATCAAGGACCCGAAGCGCTGTTGGAAGGTTCAAACCACAATTTGAGTTACCAAACGGTCTCCGATTTTAGCGAGCTTATACTCAAATCGAACGGCTCGACGAGACGAATCCAACGAACCCAAGATCACTGAGATCCAAAATCATTAAGGCTTCCAAATGACTGACGAACGGCCCATGATCAAGGGGTTCAATATCGGCCGTCCATCCAACCACTCCCCATTTGTCCATGATCTCTCACCTATTTACAAGCCATGCCACTCCTGAAAATCTATAAATAGAGCCCTCATTCTTCACAAAGGGGGGCCAAGCAAGAAGAGAAGGAAGAGGAGAAGGAAGAGAAGGAAGAAGCTCCTCCTCGACCACCGTCGGAACCTCGCCGGACCACCGCAGGAGCCTCGTCGGACCACCGCAGGAGCCTCGTCGGACCACCGCCGGAGCCTCGCTGGACCACCTCCGGAGCCTCGCCGAATCACCGCTGGAGCCTCGCCGGACCACCGTCGAAGTTTCGCCGCACCACCATCTCAAGGCCCGACGTTCAGGCCCGACATGCTACTGAAGGCCTGACATTCAGGCCCAACGTTCTGCTCAAGGCTCGACTTTCAGGCCTGACATCTTCATCTGAGGCCCTCACCTTCTCCAGAAGCCCTCACATTCGTCAAAGGCCCTCACCAACATCTGAGGCCTTCACCTTCACCTGAGGCCCTCACCTTTGCCAGAGGCCCTCATCTTCGCCAAAGGCTCTCTCCTTCGCTAGACTACCACCTTACGCCGTTGTTTTGTCGGAACACCACCTGAGGCCTGGACTTTTGCTGGGCCACTACCTGACGTCCAGAGTTCTATCAAAGTACCGCCCTACTACAACGATCTTTCAGACCCCAATCTCCTACAGACTACGGTCCTTCAGGCCTTTGTCGCCTACTATGGTCCTTCCGACCTCCATCAACATACAACGGTCTTTCTGACCCCGGTCTCCTGCTGACTACGGTCCTTCCGACCAGACAAACATGTATATGTAATTACTACTATGTAATGCAATCTGCATGGTGTACATTTGTTACATCAATCCAAGGCCTTCTCCCAAGGAAGAGCCTCATTTGTAACAACTACAAATATTAGTGGATTCATTCAAACTGGGCCAGGCCCCGTGGTTTTTCCCCCTTTTCAGGGGTTTTCCATGTAAAAAACTCTGGTGTTTCTTATGAATGTTTCACCCTTTCACTTATCTGCTTGTGTCCTGGATCTTCGTACAATGCTAAGACGTTAAACCATATATTTCTCTACCGCCGCGAATATTCCAGGACGCAAAAATTTTCTTCCACCCCCATTACAAAGAGATGGATTCCAATAATTATTTCTATGATAATCATTATTTTTATAACTCCTCTACCTTTAATTTAAAATATTGTCATACCTCTATATATTACTCTAATTACATATCTATCACCTAAAATTTTAATATTGCATACATACTACCCATAGTTTACTTTCATATCAAATATGGGTGGTAGGAAAGAAAAATATGAGTGGTGAAAATGAAATATGGATGGCATGTTTGATATTAAAATAATATAAGGTGGTATATATATAATATTTAAATTTTTAGGTGTTTGATATGTAAATATAGTAGTATAAAATGGTGTATGTAAATCCCCCTTATAAAGATGACAATCAAATTTTTACACAATGATGGTAATGAGATTGACAACATATAAGTTTTTTAAATAAGAAATTTATCATAAATTGATAAAAATTATACTACTTTGATATATGGATTGTCATGGATTTTCATTATATCTTTATTTCATATTTGTGCATTGAATACCACTCTTTATATATAATAATGACTCAACTTATAATATACCTTAAAATTTTAATGTACTAACAAATTAAATTCTTACGCAAAAAAAATTGGGGATCCGTTTAAGATGGATGCAACTTTTAATAAATTTCAAATGCAAAAAGTTATTGAAAGCACTGGCTGAATAAAAATTATGCTTGCAGCTTGAAAAATAAAGCTGTAAAAAAAAAATACCTAAACGAAGACTAAAGGGTTGTTTGGGACGACTTTATTATTGTTTCTTAAATCAATTTTTTTAGTACAAAAATTAAAATTGTTATACTAGAAAGCTGCTTTGAGAAGCATTAAGAAAGCCATCCCAACAAAGCCAAAATTATTTTCACAATAATTTTATTTTGAATCATAAAATGAAAATATACTTCTTTGTTGAAGTTGTTGAAGATCAAAATCAATATTAAACCATTTCAATATGGTTCAACTCTAACTTGCAATGCAAGCATGCATCATGATGCCAGGAAATGCAAAGCTATTAAACTATTTCAACTTTGAATTTGTTGAAGATCAAAATCAATATTAAACCATTTCAATATGGTTCAACTCTAACTTGCTATTCTTTTTATTTTTTTATCCAACCACCTGACGCAAGCGATGACAAAAGCATGGAACTATCTCGAGGGTAAGCCGAGTAAAGAAAAGCCGAAATGGCGCTATAAAAACCACTCCCCTCAACGTTAACTACGCATTCCATCGAACACTTTGCCTTCATAGTAATTTCTAAGCATTTCCGTTAGTAAGAGAGCCAGAGAGGTCTAGCTGAAAGAGCAATGGCGTCAGAGAAGGAAGTGAAGCTGCTAGATTTCTGGTTGAGCCCTTTCGGAGTCCGAACCAGAATCGCATTGGAGGAAAAAGAGGTGGAGTACGAGTACAAGGAGGAGAAGAATCTAATTCTCGGAGAGAAGAGCGAGCTCCTGCTGAAATCGAATCCAGTGCACAAGAAGATCCCCGTTCTGATCCACCACGGCAAACCTATCTGCGAGTCGCTCATCATAGTTCAGTACATTGACGAAGTCTTCCCCAGTAAAACCCCCATCCTCCCCTCCGATCCCTACGCGCGCGCCCTTTCCCGCTTCTGGGCTGACTTTGTTGACAAGAAGGTAATACATAGGCCAAATTCGTATAATAATCTCGTTTTCATTTAAGCAATTGATTAAACAGTTTGTGGTCTGCTTTGGCTTACCAGATCTCTCAATATGCGCTTCGCATCTGGAGGCTGAAGAAGGGCGAGGAACTTGACGAGACGAAGAAGGAGTTGGTAGAGAACCTGAGGATGCTTGAGGCGGAGCTTGGAGAGAAGAAATACTTCGGCGGGGAGGACTTTGGGTTGGCCGACATCGCATTCGTTCCCTTCACCTCGTGGTTCTACAGTTTGCAGGCCTTCGCCTTGTTGAGCGTGGAGGAGGAGTTCCCCAAACTTACGGCGTGGGGAAATCGCTGCTTGGAGCGGAAGAGCGTCGCCAAGTCTCTCCCTGAACCAAAGAAGGTGTACGAGTTGCTCAGCGCACGAAGGAAGGAGCTTGGCGTTGAATAGAATACAAATGTGGAGGATCGAAATGAACATCACTGATTTGAATAAATTTGTTACCGTTAGCTTACCGTTGGCTGCTGCCTGCCAACTTCCACTTGAACGCTGAGACGTTTTGAGTGTGAGACTATCCAAATAATGTTATTTGAGCATGAGCATGCTCTAAATTACAAAAAAAAAAAAAAAAAATCAATAAAATTCAGTTCCAATTGTCAAGTTCTAATAAAGTCTTTTATGACATTAGTTTGAAGTCACTTGAACTCGTTCTTTACTTAGAATTTCATCATGATGAAGTTACCAAGTAGCTATGTTTATTTGTGTTATAGTAAATACTAGTCAACTCTTTATAATTTTATGTTCATTACTCAAATGTACTTTTTTATGATAGGGACTATTAGAGGACACATAAATAACACATATTTGTACCACATCTCACTAGCAGCTACTCTATCTATTTTACCGCCTACATATACAGGCTTTCTCTTTGTAAAATGAGACATACGAAAATATATTCTCTGCTTTATTTTCTATGTTCCTGCTATGGCTTCTATCTTTCTTCTTCTCCTCTTGCCAAAATATCATCGACGTATAGTAGCAGGTATATTTCAATAGAATTTTTCTTGTAGGTGAGCAGAGAAGGATCGGCACGGCTGTGTTGAAACCCAAGCGAGATGACGTGGTTTGTGAAGGTGTTATACCATTGCCGAGGAGCTTGTTTGAGCCCGTAGAGTGCTTTATGAAGGAGGCAAACGTGGTCTGGGTGAGATGCGTCTTCAAAGCCTTTGGGTTGCCGCATGTATACAGTCTCCGAAAGATCGCCGTGAAGAAATGCGTTTTCGACGTCGAATTGATGAATTTTCCAGTCATGAAAGAGAGCAACTGTGATGAGTATGCGGACGGTGGGCAGCTTAGCCACCGGGCTGAACGTCTCCAAGTAATCGATGCCATGTTCTTGGTGATTTCCAAGAGCGACAAGACGAGCTTTGTGATGTGCGATAGATCCGTCCGTATGCTTTTTGGTTCGAAACGTCCATTTACAGCCTAGAATAGAGGCTGAAATTGGTGGAGGAACAAGAGACCAAGTCCCTTGTTTTTGTAAAGCAAAAAATTCGGCCGCCATGGCTTGGCGCCATTCAGCATACTTCATAGCTTCTTGATAAGTTGTTGGTTCAGTTTTTGTCTCAAAAGATTGATAATGAATAAGATTAAGTTTGTTTATAGGTTTGAGAGAGCCGGACTTGAATCTAGTGGTCATTGGGTGATTGGAAATGGGCTGAGGTTGATCTTGAGGTGTTGGAATATTGTGAGATTCAAGTGTAGGGAGATGTTGGGTAAGAGGAGTTGAAGAGGTGGGAAGCGGATTAGTGGGAGTAGTGGAATTCTGTAAGGTAATATTGGTAATTGGCGTCGGAATTTGGTTTTGGACCGAGGATACGGGTAGAAGCAGAGACGGATTTGTGGTGATAGTAGGAGAGGAATGATCAAGGACGGAATTCTGAAAAGGAAACGAGGTTTCTATAAAAGTGACGTGACGAGATACAGAAACAGAGTTGGAGGATCGATTGAAGCATTTGTAATCTTTGTATTGATCTGAGTAACCGAGAAAAGTGCAAGAGTTTGATTTCTGTTGAAGTTTGTGACGAAGCGGACTGGGAATCAGCAGAAAGCATTCGCACCCAAAAGTTTTGAGATGATCGTAGGAGGGGGCTTTGTTGTAGAAGGATTGAAAAGGGGAAACAGAGTTATTAGTGTTTGATGGTAGTCTGTTTATTAGGTAAACCGCTGTGGTGGCAGCATCAGGCCAGAATTTGTGAGGAAGGGAAGCTTGATGGAGTAAAGTCCTGGTAGTTTCAATAACGTGGCGATGTTTTCACTCGGCCATGCCGTTCTGCTCCGGAGTATAGGGGCAAGAAATTTGATGTTGAATACCGTTAGATTGAGATGGCTGTTGAGATATTCGGTGCCCCCATCAGTCCCAAGAGTTTTAATTTTACGGGTAGATTGATTTTCAATAAATGTTTTAAAGTTAATGAATGTGCTCGTAACGTCGGATATGTTTTTAAGAGGGAACAACCACGTGAATCTACAGCAATCATCAACAAATATTACGTAGTATCGAAAACCTTGGTGAGATATCACCGGAGACGGACCCCAAACATCCGAATGTAAAAGTTCAAGAGGAAATCGCTTTCTATTACAGATTTTGAAAACGGCAGTTTATGCCCTTTACAAGACTGGCAAGAAACGCAAGAAGAAGTAAGTACAGGTATATGTAAATGAGGATTAGCGCTAGCAATGAGACGAAGCGTGCAGGAGTTTGGATGACCGAGCCTATTATGCCAGGTGACGGAAGAGTTGCGGTTTGCCTTCAGTGCAGGAAGAGACGGAGAAGATGATGTTAACGGGGGCAGACCATCCTTACATGGACCTTGAAGGATAGTGCGATCCGTCATCAAAACCTTAATAAGAAAGCCGTTAGGATTAAAAGTAATGGAGATGCAGTTATCTTTAACCAGGTTAGAGATAGATAAAAGATTGTAGGAAATGGTAGGAATGTGAAGAAGTTAGATAATTTGAGCTTACGAGTGGGTGTTGGAAGAAGTCCGGTGCCGGAATGAGCAATCGGAAGATTTCTTCCGTCGCCGATGGTGATAGAGTCGGAGCCTTGATAGATCGAGGGGTTGGAGAGGTTTTCGGCAGTGTTGGTCATGTGAGCTGATGCGCCGGAATCAAGATATCAATCGTTATGTTGAGAATCGGTGGTGGCAGCGAGTGCGGTGGAGGTGTTGGCGGATTGCGTTTTTGTGGAGTAGTTGATATTTAGGCGATGCCAACAGGAAACGGCGAGATGACCTCTCTTGTTGCATATTTGACACACAGGAAGAGGTTTGGAAGAGTCCCGAGCAGAGGAAGTCGCGTTAGTAGTGAATCGACCTCTATTACCTTTCGAGCGCCCTCTTCCCGCGTACAGTGCAGCGTGCGGATCAGCTTTCATGGGGTTTCTTGAAATATCATTCTGGACGTGGATCTCCTCACTGATGAGAAGGGAGTAGAAGTTGTCAAGACTCAATGAGTGCTGCATTGTGCGTATGGAGGTTTTTGAAGGCTTGATAGGGTGGGGATAAGCCGTTCAAGATATACATGATTATGTCTTCGTTGTCGATGGTAGAACCGGCTGCGGCGATTTGATCGACAAGATTCTTGATGGTCGTAAGATATTGAAGCATGGATTGATCCTTCAAGGACCCGTTGTGGAGCTCATTTTTGAGCTGTATCACCTTCGACCGGTTAGAGGATTGAAAACGTGTTTCGAGCGCTTTCCAAATTTCTGCTGTGGATTCAAGGTGCAAGACATACGGAAGAACCGTAGGGGAGATCGTAGAACAAATCGCTGCCAAGAGATTTTGATCAGTGAGCGACCAAGTCGTTGAGGCGCTGGCATTGTTGGGACTGGCTGTCGAGGAAGGTTCTTGCGTGGTTTCGGTGGGGCAAGAAGACGCAAGAAAGTGATCAAAGCCATTAGCGCGAAGTAATTTGACAATCTGACTTCGCCATAATGCATAGTTGTCAGTAGTAAGTTGAGTAGGAACGATGGTGTGGAGGTTGGAGACAACAAACTTGAGAGAGGCCGAGATGCCAGCGGTGTCCAATTGACGTTCAGAAACGGTGGTGGAGTGGGAGGAGGTAGAAGAAGAAGACATGGTCGAACAAGAGTTAGGATCTTGCCGTGTCTGATACCATGTGGAAAACTTAGAGAAGAAGAAAGATAGAAGCCATAGCAGGAACAGAGAAAATAAAGAAGAGAATATATTTTCGTATGTCTCGTTTTACAAAGAGAAAGCCTGTATATGTAGGTGGTAAAATAGATAGAGTAGCTGCTAGTGAGATGTGGTACAAATATGTGTTATTTATGTGTCCTCTAATAGGGACCCTCAACCTAAACTTAGAAATAAAAGTTTGAAGGATGAGGAAAGACACATTAATCTTGTATTTATTGGCAATCTTGTAATGTCCCATTGCTTCTCTCTCTCTCTCTCTCTCTCTCTCTCTCTCTCTTAATTTATTCGATAAATTATTATGTGCGGTCGTTGAATGCAGTTTACCGTTTAGAGACCAACCAAAATACGCAACGTCAGCAATACCGAGTCGCGGTACCGAACAGTACTGAGCCGGGAACCGAGCAAGAGGTGACGTGACACATTCTAGTTGGTCTCTTAATAATATTTATAGACATCCACATAGAATAATTTCTTATTTTATGTATTCATAATAGCTAGTAATGTTTTGATTTCACTATCACCAATAGAAAAATTTTTGTTTAACACCTCTTAAGATGCGAGTGATAAACTCAAGTGTTATATTTCAAACAAAAATATTTTAATTTTATTTCTCAATAATAATTTATTTAAAACAATTAGCATATCAATTAGCAAAGCAAATTAAGCAATCTCATCTTAATTAAATCAATTTTTGATCATATTATACAACATCAATCAAACGGTATGTTTGCTTTCTTCTATAATTAACATCAAATTGTATGTTAGAATATTCACATTGGTAGAATTCAAGAATTTATTTCATCTTAATTAAATCAATTTATGGATTTCTTGGTATTGTATGAACATCAAGTCCACACACATATGAAAGAAAAGTTGTAAGAGAAACCTAGTTGTTCAAAAACGAAAGAATGGAAAAATCACAAAGCCTACCTTAGCTGGAATAATTATATTAGTATTATCTTCATTTACAAATGATATATTTCTCCTATGGCATGGGAGATGTCTTCAATAGATTATTTATTGTGTGTTGGTCGTTCTCTTTCAAGGAAGAAAGAAAAGAGAGTACGAGGTCAAGTATAAATTTTGATGCCGATGCCAAGCTTCAAAGTTAGTATTAACAATGTGTGTCAGCCATATAGTGAGGTTTGTGTTAACGATGTTGGTGATGGTTAGTGACAAAGTTAGCATATATCAATGTAGCTAAGCAATAATAGTTGAAGTGTCATAGTCAAACTACATGAAACTTATCTTTTTGCGGAAGAAAAATTCGTTGCAAAATCCAATTTGTGATGAAAATTTAAAAAAAAAAACCAGAAATTCAAATATGACCAGTTGCCCATTGCCGAGCCTGATCGGTTGCCCACTCCTGCCTAAACGCTGCCCGCGCCACAAGACGTGCCCGAGATTCGAACATGCTCCGATCCTCTTACAAATTAACCCTTTCTCCATTTAGTCGGGTAGACAAAACACAACAAAAAGTTTTTTTTTTTAATTTATTTCTATTATAACGTAGCTTGCAGCTGATTTACGACGAAAATTCGGCCACAAATCCTTCATAAAATTTGTCAAAAAATTTTGTCACAAATTCGTTGTCATTTTTTACAAAAAAATGTCCGCCGCAAATCTGTGACTTTCCTGTAGTGTTAGTCGATGTTACTTGAAGGATAATAGTCAAACGAAAATGGTCAAAGGGTCATATGACGATGGTATTAAAGGATCGTATACAAGTGATTATGATTATAAGAATATAATCAAACGATGATGGATAGAGAATTGTAATTAAGCAATAATAGTGGGAGAACTACAGTCGAGTGATAGCGGTCGAATATCATAGTCATGTGATGATGTTCACATGACCCTAGTTCAGATGTGATGGTCTGCAATGATGGTCGGATGATCGTAGTCTTGGGATTGTGGATAAAATGACGATCTATTCGTAGTATTTTGGGAGTGACATGGGCTTCAAAAATTCGCGCTCCAACCACTTCATGGTCCCTTTCCTTTCTTTTTAGGGTTGTGGAGGAGAGTTTTAACGAGTAAGCTCCAAGGCAAATTTTTAGAATACAGATTGGGTTTTGAATGAGACACTACCCAGTGATTTTACCCTCATTTTGCAAGGACTTTACATCTAAATTCAAGTTTCTTATAGGTGCAAGCCCCTACAGTTAATTACCTCTCTCAATAGAGAGAGAACTTTCGATTAAGGCTAGTTGTCAAACAGATACATAACATCTGACATATAGTAGCAGCATAATTTAATATTTGAAAATTTAACATTTAAAATTATAAATTTATCGCATTGCACTTAAAGTGGATGGTGGGGAGTGATGATAGACCCTATTAAGATCACATGGCTCTGTCATCCTGGGTCATCATGATTCATGGTTTACTTAGTCAAAGGAGATAGTCGACCCAACCCGACAAAAGGATCCGACAATCATGGGTTGCTTCGTCAAAGTGTACATTGTAGACCTGGGGTGAATATTTGTTTAAGAGAACCGTTTTGAAGCTACTTTAGCTGCAGAGAGCTTTGTGTCATATCGGCCAAATCCTATTGATTCATTACTCAATGATTTAGGGTAATGTAATAATGTCATTTGACAGCAAAACCATCCGATCATAGCCATTTACCTGTGGCACTATTTGACGATGAAACCATTGATTAGAGGACATCTGTGTATTTGCTATGTATTATACACAACTAGTACACACCCATACACAGATATTACATATCAATACATATCTAATACACAATATAAATTATAGTATGTAGTATATACTAGTTAATACACAGTTAATACAAACCAATATACTAGCTAATGTACACCAATACACAGGTTGTGCACAAATAATTTCTCTAAGTGTGCAGGATAAATTTGCAACCCAAATCAAACGTTAAATGAGTAAGACCAATTAGATGGTCAGGTCAGATTTGGTATTGACCAAAAAAATATTGAAGTCTTATGATCTTATCTGACCATCGCTTTCCGATAATGCTCAACTCGCACGAGGCGAGACAATTCTGCCATTAAACTATTTTTTTAATCCACCATTCATTCTGACGCAAGCGATGACCAATGTGCGAAAGCGAGTCTGGTACAAAACAATGACCGGATCTCTCACATAAATACCACGTCTAACGCAACGTTTAGTTCGCATTTCATCCAACACTTAACGGTCATTTCTAAGCATCTCTGAGAGAGAGAGAGAGAGAGAGAGAGAGAGAGAGCTGAAAGAGCAATGGCGGAAGAGAAGGAAGTGAAGCTGCTGGATTACTGGGCCAGCCCTTTCGGTGTCCGAACCAGGATAGCATTGGCGGAGAAGGGGGTGGAGTACGATTACAAGGAGGAGAATCTATCGGAGAAGAGCGAGCTCCTGCTGAAATCGAATCCAGTGCACAAGAAGATCCCCGTTCTGATCCACCACGGCAAACCTATCTGCGAGTCGCTCATCATAGTTCAGTACATTGACGAAGCTTTCCCCAGTAAAACCCCTATCCTCCCCTCCGATTCCTACGCCCGCGCCCTTGCCCGCTTCTGGGCTGACTTTATTGACAAGAAGGTAATAGTTCCCCTCCGAATCTCCGATCCCTATTAGTAATATCGTTTTCATTTAAGCAATTAATCAAACACTTGATGGTCTGCTTTGGCTTACCAGTTCTATCCAGGTATGATTCGCATCGGGAAGCTGAAGAAGGGCGAGGAGTTTGAGGAGACGAAGAAGGAGATCTTAGAGAACCTGAGGACACTTGAGGTGGAGCTCGGAGAGAAGAAATACTTCGGCGGGGAGGTCTTCGGGTTCGTCGACATCGCACTCGTTCCCTTCACCTCATGGTTCTACTGTTTCAAGGTCTTTGCCGATTTGAGCGTGGAGCAGGAATGCCCCAAGCTTGCGGCGTGGGAAAAGCGCTGTCTGGAGCGGGAGAGCGTCGCCAAGTCTCTGTCTGATCCAAAGAAGGTGTTTGATATGGTCAGCTCGCGAAGGAAGAATCGTGGCTTTGAATAGAATACAAATATGGAGGAGACGAACATCTTGATCAAGTTGAATAAATTTGTTGCCACTTGCCATCAGCAGGTTACTGTTGGCTTTTTGCCTGTTGACCCCCCCTCGAGAGTTGCTGAAATTCTTAGGTGTGCGAACTCCAGTTGTAGCCGGACTCTCCTTTAATGTCAGAGGCGGATCCCCTGTCTCTAAAAATTATTGTGTACATAATCCGAACACATTATAAGGTATTATAAGGTTTAAATGCTGCGTATTTACTGTTTATTTTATTGCGTATTTTTTGATATATAATTTTTTATGGTAAATAAGAATCAAATAAATAATACTCACTAAATACACAATAAATACACAAAAAAATATGTAGAAAAAAATTTCAAAAAATACGCAGTAAAATAAGCAGTAAATACGCAGCATCCGAACCTTACTCTGCGTTCGGATTGCGTACACAATAATTTCTTGGCTCGGGGTAATGCACCCTCTAAAAAAAAGTTGTCCTCCTCTATCTATTTTTTTGTCTTTATTATGAAGATTTTTAGGCAATTGCTCCCCCAAAAATTTTAATATAGTATAATTTTTAGGCAACTGTCCCACCATAATTAAACACATTGTGTAGAAGAGTTATTATTAGGGAACGATTAACCAGGTCATGACAAAGCCCCCTTAGATCTCTGACATATATGCAAAGCGTATGACGATCAAAGGTCTTGTCAAATTCGAGGCAACTGAATGTTAAGGTTGGTTCCACCCCTGATATGTGTATTAACATATATCGTGTATAACGATATGATCCTTTTCTATTGGAGTGTGGGCGCCATCCGAACTCCGCGCTTAATAATTTCTCTGAGAGTTGAGGGTGTTATACAAATAATGTTGTTTACTAAGCTTTTGTATGTTTAAGATTACATGAAGAAATACATTTGAATGAACAAAAGTGGGCTTCGTACGTAGCAACCGGTTTTGGGAAGTAAAAAAATAATCAATTAGGGAGAAAGTCTTCTCTTTTTCTTTCTGTGATTAGAAGTTAATGATTTATTTATTAAAATAAGCAGCAATTACAACAAAGAATGGGGCTAATTAACAACTAGCGAAGGGTCAATCAATCTACACAGCCATTTCCTCGTGAACTTTACCAATAAGATCAAATTTAACGACAACGATTCATTATATTACATTTGAACTTTACCATTGTGCCTAAGTAAAATTTATTATGCCCACATAAGTTCACACTTTAGTGAAATGTGGCTCATAGAGCGGCGATCGTCCCAAGAAACTTACGACATTGGGTACTTTCTATGATGCAGCTCATAACCTAGGAATTTTTATTGCGTCCTCCCACCTGACGCATCTTTACGTTCGGTAAGCCTTGATAACGCGACACCTGGCAACAACAATACCCGTTAACCGACCCGGCGAATAGTGGGTTTATGGCACGTGCGAAATTTAAAAATGAGACGGCACGAACAACGGACCCGAAAATTATACCGCGGAACCGAGAAAAACTGGCGAGACAAACTTTACTGTGCCTTCATCTTCTCCAACCGGCGCTTCTTCTTCCATTTCAGTGAACTTGCTAGCTCCGCATTTACGATGCCTCAGGTTAGTTTCATCTTCTGTAAACACGAATAAACTTGCAAGTTACCGAGCAATACTGCTGCGGTATTATTGTAGTTAAAGATTGGTTAAGTTATCGGTTGAGCTTGATACCGAGCTTTACCGAGCATTCTTAAAGTCGGTAGTGCTAGGTATTTGCAAGCAATGGTCGGCAAAATACCTAGCATTGGTAGCAGTAATCTTCTTATGTGCTTCTAATCTCTAAGATAAATTCTCAAACCATCCCACTAATTATTTCTTAATTCATCATCATAAGAAGGAAACACATTCATATTTAGCATCTCATTAATTTCAATCATAGCTTGGTTAGTAATGAATGTCATCACCTATCCCTCTTATACATACATCATAGTGAATCTCATTATAATTTTATTAAATTTTATCTTAAGAAAGCTTTTCTATAATATTCCCTTGTCAAGCACTTGTTATTTTAATCACAAATTTTAATTTTAAATATTATATTATCTACATCCTTATAACATCACACAGTGATTACATGTACGTGGAAAAAGCTTATTCTTTTCATAATATAATTTGTTCAAATGGAGAGAAATTATAATATTATCCTTCTTTTTATCTTTATAAGTGCAATAAAAAGCTTATTATTTTCATAATAATTTCCTTGTTTTTAAATGAAGTTGTCTTTTTTTTTTAATTTAATGATTCTTTATTAGTATTTTTATAATCAAATAAATATATGACTATTATATTTGTATCAGGATATTCTGAAATAACTTTTTTCCAAATATTAACTCTGTTATGAAGCCTTTGTTATATAAATTAGATATCAACAATAATTATATCAGAAGAAAATAATTTTAAAAACTAGAAGAATGAGCATCATAACTTTTCTTTTCTAACAATTTTATAATATATTTCTAACTTTTATAATATTTTCAATTATTTTTAATAATTATATTAAGTTCTTTTTTTTTTTTCATAGCTTGTTTATTTTATAAATATAGAATTTCATACTACTTATTGCGGGCTAAAATATATGTGGCGGTAAAACAAAAGAGTCTTTTGTCCTAACGTTGTACATATATCTAGCACACAAACAAATAATTTAGAAACGACCATGATTTTAATGTGGAAAACCTTGAAAAAGGGTGAAAATCACAGGGTCATACCCAGTTGAAATGATTCCACTATCATTTGAATATGTTACAAAGATTGACTTGTCCCTAAACTTGAGGATGATAATTACAATAGTCCAAGAAGTTGGTTGCACTTTGTGTGAGTTTAGAATAATGAAGGTCAGGCAAAAGTCTGACAGTGGTAAAACAAAAGTCCGACGGCTGTTAGGTACAAGTCCAACAATGATCGATGACCAGGTGGAAGTCCAGAGATGGTTGGTGGTTGGGTAAAGTCTGACGACGAGCAGTGGTTGGGTGAAGGTTCGACAACCGTCGGTGGCCAGGCAAATGTTTGGGGACGGTTGGTTACTGGGAAGAAGTCTAGCGACGGTTAGTAGCCGGATAATGGTCCAGTGACGGTCGGTGGCCGGACAATGGTCCGGTGACGATAGGTGGTCGGGAAAAAATCCAACGACGGTCGATAGTTGGGAGGTGGTCTAGGAGTATGGTGGCAAGAGAGGCCAAGATATTATCTTCCTCTCCTCTTCTTTTTCTTGATTGCCCTCCCCTCTAGTGAAGAATGATGGGTCTATTTACAATTTTTTTGGAGTGATATGCCTAGTGAATAGGAAGAAAATCAAAGGCATGTTGGGAGTGTTTTGATGGATTGTCAATATCAATTCTCTCGATCATGGACCTTTTATCGAGCGTTTGAGCATCTTAATCATGTCAGAATTCAGAGATCTTGGCTCATTGGATTCATCTCATCAAGTCGTTCGATTCGAGTGTAAGCATGTCATATTTGGATATCATTTGGTCATCTAATTTATTCTTTGAACATTCTAAATATGCTTCGGGCCTTTGTTTTGGATCTATTTGAACTCGGCTTGGATTTAATTAGTGTCGTTGGGCCGTCTCCTTGAGATGTTCCTTTCAATTATAAGCTTCCTAAAATTGGAGTTTGAATGGTTTCGAATTTAATTTTGAAAGCTTCCAATTTGATTTTGCCTCAAGATTCGTGCTTGATCAAGATAATTTTTTGAAGATATATAATGAATAGGTTAAATTACTATAAAATATAATATGTTTTCACCCACCGCAATCATATAATGAACTCAACAACTTTGAATCTACATTTCGAGTTGTGAATATAATGTCTGCCATAAAGAATCTGGGTAATTTCTGTTAATAATTGTTAATTTTAATTTGATTAGCAATTATATGTCTTAAAGTGTTTAAGAAAGCCTTGAATAAGTTAAGAATTAGATTGGAGAAGTGCAATTTGAAGACATCAAAATTACTTTGTGAACATCGTGGTGTGGGATAGGCAGTGCCACAACATTGAGCTCTTGGGTGAAGGGGAAAAAATGAGCATGTGCTGCGGTGCTAAGGCTGGAATGAAAATATTCCAAGATAATCTAGAAGATTCTTTTAGAGCGTAACGACATTGGGTAGTTGAGGGCCGCAGCACTAGGTCAGATTAGTGATTTTTAAATAATAAAATGTCTAAAATAGTTTACAAAAATCCTTCATTATCGAGCTTCTGTCAAAGAAGAGAGGAGTAGAAGGGAGAGGAGAAGAGGAGATAGAAGAAAAAAGAGAGTAATTTCGAGGCTAAAAATTGAGATTCATCCATCATGCTAGTTCTAGATATTGTAGAGCACGAAATAGACTTTTGAATGATTTCAATTCAAATGATTTTATAAATAGTTATGGATAAAATTATATTTTTCTCGAGTTTCACCGCATAATTTTTAATGGTCTTAAGTACCCTTCCTCTATTGGTCTCTACACATTCGAACCTTATTCAAAAAATTCAGGTTGGAGTTGGCATGTTTAATAAACGGGTTAGGTTCGAGTTAGGAATTTCGACCCGTTTATTTAATGGGTCGGGTTCGATTGACTCACCAACTCTATTTTAATCGTAAATGATCAGTTTAAACTATTTTTTTCTTAAAGTATTTATTTGTTGACATTACAGCCTTATTTTTTTTTTAATTAATCTAAAATCTATTCTTCAAAAGTTATTAAATTTGTTTTAAATGAAAACTGGTAATCATGTTGAATTCAAGTCATTCAGGTTACTATCTGGTCAGGTTTGGTTACATATATTTTACCGGTTTATTAAAAGATTTGGGTTCAGACTAATTGATTTCGGGTCGAGACAATTTCAGATTAGATCTGAACCCAAATCGTTGACCTATTTTGCCACACCTAGATGAACTATCTAGTCTGATTGAAAAAGAAATGACTTACAATGCTTTTGAACGTGTTAAGCTTCATAATCAACCCTTCTCACATTTCTTATTTGCTAATGACTTGCTAATTTTGAATATCTTTTTTATTATTTTTTAAAGCAATTTTTTAATATAATTAAAAAATAGAAAAAAAATAAAAGACAAAAACAATTCCGAATGAAGCTTTACTGTTTTTTTTTTTTTTTAAGTCTCTGAAATCATGCTATCTTCAAGCCTTAGAAACATAACAGAAGTCTTTGGAAGCATTGGAAGGGAGACCGAATTACGCCTTCAAAGTTCTAACTATCATATCCTTGACGAACATGAGCTGAAACAGTAGCTGCACTTTCTAGTCCATTGAAACGCAAGCAATGACGTCCTCTCCCGCTACTTTAGTATAATAATCATTCTGGTGCTCAACATTTTCCATCGCTGGAGCGCTATGGGGAACGAAGAACAGGTGCTTCTGCTCTCATGGCGGGCGAGCGTGTTCGGGCTGAGGGTTCAGATAGCTTTGGAGGAGAAGGGCGTTGCATATACTTACAGGGAGGAGGATATCTTCGAGAAGAGCAAACTGCTCTTGGAATCAAATCCGGTTTACAAGAAAGTACCAGTCTTGATCCATGGAGATAAAGTTGTCCGCGAATCTCTCATTATCCTTGAATACATCGATCAAGTCTGGGACAAGCATGGTCCCTCTCTGTTACCTGCTGATCCTCACCGGCGAGCACAGACAAGATTTTGGGCCGATTTCATCAGCAAGAAGGTACTCTCTCTCTCTCTCTCTCTCTCTCTCTCTCTCTCTCTCTCTCTCTCTATTATATATGTATCAACTAAAAAGATTAGATTTATATTTTTAACATCCAATATTAACTTGCATAACATTTAAAATATCAAAATAAAATAAGAAATAACACATCCCAACACATTTTCACTCAAACCTTCACACATCTAATGCCGCCAGGGCGAAACCAGCCTTAATTTTCAGGGAGGATAAACTTATAAATAACTAATGGTATTGCATCGACTTTGGCTCGACCATTCACTACAAGAAAATGGGTCACCAAAAAGGAAGCTTAACATTAGCTAATAATTCTTTGTAGTTGAATATATAATACATTATAACATTAACATTTTATATAATGACAATTATTCTTAAACAAAATTTAGGTTGAAGTATGGATTCTTAAATCAAATTGATGTAATTGATTAACCATTTAATTTCTATAAAATATATGTTGGAGTTGCCTTGAATTTAGCTCGATCCCTATTTGTTCATATCCTTGATCGTTATACGCTTCGCAGATATGTCGGGGATCCATGGGAGCAGCGCCCCCTGATGGGGTTCGAATTTTGGTTGAAAGGATATTTTGAAATTTTTACGACTGTGTGAGAGTGATTACAGACAATTATGGCAAAAGGGGGGCAAAGTAAGAGGCTTGGGGGGTGCAACTACCCCCTGACATATACATGGTTCCGCCCTTGGGGGCCGCCACCCTCTCAAGACATCATCAAATGAAATAATTGATACCTATCAATAACATAATTTGCTGAACAAATTAAATAAATCCTTACAAAGCTGTTTTTATTTTGTTATGAATTGAAAATAAATTATTTTATTGTTTGTAATGACAGATTTATGATAGCGGTAGAAGGATAAGGCACAGTAAGGGAATTGAAAAAGAAGAAGCCAAGGAGGAGTTCATGAGACACCTAAAGATTCTGGAAGGAGAGCTGGGAGAGAAGCTTTACTTCAATGGAGACTCGTTTGGATTTTTGGATATTGCTCTTATTACATTTTCTTGTTGGATCCACACATACGAGACATTTGGGGGCTTTAGTGTGAAGAAGGAATGCCCGAAGCTCATGACTTGGGTGAGGAGATGCATGGAGAGGGAGAGTGTGGCAAAGACGCTTCCATCTCCTCTACAGGTCTATCAGATCGCCTGCTTGGTGAAGAAGAAGTTAGGATTTGAATAGTAACAAAATGTTATTTTGATGAGTTTGCTCTAAGAATGAGAGAGAAGGGGGAGGAGAGCCTTCAAAAAATAATGTACCAACTAATCAAAAAAAAAAAAAGCTATTATTTGAACTGTGTAGCATCACTCTTTTATAAAATATTAGCTTTGTTAGCCTATTGTTTTATTACTCTTTGATAAGATATTAGCTTTAATGGGAAGATGTGTCCCAAACACTCTCACGCAACTAATGTCTCCCATCGAGTTCATTGATAACAACATCAACACATATCATTGCCTATAAATGCACGTCATTAACACAAAAACCAATGTATGTCGACTTCATCACCGACTATCGCCGGCAAAATCAATACATGCATAGCATTTAATATTGATGCATTCCATTGCATAAAGTTAATGTCAACACATCATCGCCTATAATACAAATGCACACCAACAACACTAACACGGACTTCTGTCAACTTTGTTGATTGTTGCTGCCAACAACATCCTACCCATGCCACGTCAAAAGATTGATTGGCGTGAGCCTGCTTTCAACACCAAGATTTATATTGAACATCTTAATATCTGATTTTTTGTTCTCAAGACATAATGACCAAATATATAACAATGATCTCTTGAATACAACTCTAATATCTCAAGACTCATCTAACATTTATCATGGAATCCATCATCCATAATTTACGTCTACTACATGATGTCAATGACCTTCCCTATTGTAGGGAAGGGCATTATTTATAACCTATGACTTACATTGGTGGAATCATTTCAATTAAGTCAGACTATTTTTTTTTTTTTTCTTTTTTCATGTACAAATTGTGCTGACTCTTATAACCTTCTTTTAGAGCTCTGGCAGATATTTGACATTGATGATTATTGTCAACAACCATCATTGTCAATTGTCGTTGCCGAACTATCAGCACTCAATCACTATCCTCAAACTTTTGTAACATCATCCAACCATCACCAAGCAACTATAACATTATAATCATTGTCATCCAACTACAATCACCAAACCCCCATCAACCAAGTACCATCTCCACCGACTTCATCACTACACATTAATGCATGGCCTCACTTATAAGTTGATGCTTGTCGCAAATATAAATGTTGATGCCTATAGACCAATGCTTGTTCTCATCAATAAAGTCAACACATGCCATTGTCTATATTTAATGTTGATGCAAACTATTGCCACAAAATTGATGCTTGTTGAATTCATCGCCCACTTTTGCTATGAACATAGATGCTCATAATCTCTTGTCAGGGCAATGTATATCATTAACAACAACACCTAAACCTAATAACTTTGAAAATCTCCCATACAATAACTCGTATTCTGTCGAAATGGCTTGAATTCTTTATAATTTCAATTTAGCTAAATGCAGAAGTTTTTCTCTTCATTCGTGTCAACCAACTCTCTAAAGCTTTTATTCTAAAACTTAAAATTTAGACTTAGTCTAACACTCTAACTCTCCATTTGGATCCTCTCCAATTACCAGTGCCCATCCCAGGCATCCTATATACATCTTAAATAATCAGGATTGCATAGTTCAAAATGATACGAATGGTAGTGCAGTTACCATGATAATTGGAGAGAATCTAAATCTTCTAACACTGCACATTTTCTCTGTAATTAAATCATGCAATGACACTTACCAGTGATATACATATCCACTACAGAAAATTTATACAACAAAAGACGAGGTACAATGCAATCTAGCTTCATCCGAATTTTGATCATCATGGAACGTAGAAAACTGATGCCTAGAAAGGAAAAAAAAAGTTAAAATTAAATAAAACTAATGAGATTTATAAATAGTTCCCCCACGACTTTCAAGTTTGTTCAGCGGGATGGGCCTAAATTCATGACAAAGAATGCAAAAGAATAAACAAGTAGACGAACAAATCAACTCAAAACCCTCTTATTTATCATGAAAAGTTACATCATCCAGTAAAATATACTTACAAAAAAATGAGGTGGGTTAATAGTCATCCTGAAAAGAGCTAGATGAAAGCCGTGAAATTGAAATCTCTCCATCAATAATCATTTCAGGGAAACCATCGCAAACATGTCTGCACTGAGGCCAACCATAAGAGGGTAACACCATGCACCACTCATGATGTGTTCACCTGGCAGTGGCACTGCTTTTCCTATTCCACTGTAAGTATGATGCATCGCGATGAGGCCTGCATGTAGGTTGAAGAAATAACAACTTATAGTTAAATGCCATATAATATCCACATAACCAAGAAGAAAGGGTTACAAGCAATGATTTAGGCTTCGTTTGGGACAGCTTTCTTATTGCTGCTTAAAGCAGCTTTCTTATTGCTGCTTAAAGCAGCTTTCTAATACAAAAATTTAAATTTTTGCAATAAAAAGCTGTTTTAAGAAGCAGTAAGAAAGCCGCCCCAAACGAAAGCTTAGTTTGCAAGAACACGAAACCTAATCGTAAGTTTACTTCGATCAGGCTGATTCTTCTTACATAACTAATAAGGCACAGGTCCAATCCAGGAACAAAAGAGAGATAATAGAAGAAAACAGCAATTCATGGAAATATTATTAAGACAGTGAATATTCAGATAGAAAACAAGAAGGTCAATCCAGTGCTATATGAAATTGAAATATTCAAAGAATGGGTGAATAAAGTAGCAGAAGCGACTTATATGATTTAAGAACCAATCTGCAGTGATGAAAATGGTAAAGCCAAGTTAATGAAAAACATATCTTTGTAGCGTGCATAAGCGCCTAATCATTGGAAGAAAAAGGAAGGCTTTCTAATACTTCTAAGTCTTAATTTGACCATCTTTATAACGGCAAATGGAATTGCAAAATGGAGGAATAAGAAATATAGAATGACTTATGAAATCCGGAGAATTAAAATTTACCTTGGGAATTTCACATGAATTAAGGCAAAAATAATGGCAACTAAAATGCTGCAACAGCCTGTGGCAATGTAGGATAATCCAAGAAAATTATTGTTGCCTCCCAGCCAGTTCGAAGTCGTCAGAACTAGTTTTTTCTTCCCACCAAAACTGTAAGTATTGTAGTTGTTAGAAAGATGAATCGTTAAAAGCTCATCAGCATCTAGATCCTCCTCAATCACACCATAAAGTTTTCGAAAGTTGGGTAGTGCAGCTACACGCATCCAAACAATGAGGTCCTCCTGTTCACTCAGCTATTTGGAGAGAAATCCAAATAGAAAAAAGAGTGCATTAGAAATTTAGAGAGCTATTACATTTCAGTGATTTTAATTGCATTAAGTTTTCCTTTATCTTCGTTTTAGAGAATTGGAGAAATTAGTTTTCATGGGAAGCAAAACTAAATAACTCTGTGTTCTGAATGAGAAAACTGGAAGGAAATTTCTTATAACCATTCTAAACTGGAAGCATCATGTATTTTTGCATTTTTATTCATTTCAACAGAGATTATAAACTCAAAATAAAGAAACAAACGAATACACTTAATATTACATGCTGACACGTAAGGATATTCCGTACAAAAAATTTGAATTAAATGTATAAACTTTGATATGTTGAAAACTCACAGGAATGCTTTGATTGAGTTTTCCTCCGCCAATTAATGTATCATTCTGGAAATTAAAAGGGTATACGTCATTGCCAAATTTGTGATCTCTGTCACTCTTCCAAGAAATATTCCTCCTGTTGATATTTAACTTTCCAGCCTTAACATCAAATGTGAATGTATCATTAAACAAGCTCCATGCAATTAGCCCACAAGGTACAACAGGGAGACTATTGCTCGACTCTACAGGTTTGCAAGAACTAATATCTTTGTACTGCAAACCATAAAGAAGCTGCTTATCACTTCTACTCTTTACGTACCTGGTAAAATTTTGACCACCAGAATTAAAACAATGGCAGAATCAGAAATTCTAATCAATACTGCAGATGAATAATCCTAATTGTTTTCCTAGAAACTTAGGTTTCGTTTGAGACGGCTTTTTTACTGTTTCTTCAAGCAGCTTTCTAGTACAAAAATTTTGATTTTTGTACTAGAAATTTACTTTAAGAAGCAGTAAAAAAACAATCCCAAACGAAATCTTAATCGATAAGAGAATCAGTAAAATTTAAAAATGGGCCTCACCTTCGATGGTTCTGATAATAGTTATCTAGTTCATAATAGACATATATTGGTGCTTTCATTTGATTTCGTAGCTGCAGTCATCAGTTCAGAGACTGGATCATATTAGCACAAGAAAGGAAATGAATGGAAGTCTAATATAGAAGTAACAAAATGCTGTAAATCTATTAGAAAGAAAAGATTAGGATATTAACAAAGAAAAAATGAGAATGCGGTTCCTATTACTTGAGAAGTCACACTGACAATTCAAAATATTGTGATTATTCATAAAAGAAGAGCATGCGAAAAAATATATAAATAAATAGTGAGTAAAACATATTTCCAAAGGGAAGCAATTTTATTTACACATGGCACTCATTGCTACAGCCAAGAGGAAACTAAGACAAGATCATATGGAAAAAATGAATAAATATTTTTATATAGGGACAAATTAGATATAAAAATAGACGTTTATCAAAAAATGCTTTTAACCAAAACAAAATATTCCAATTTATCAACATATAGTATCAGACAATAATTAGGATTTGCTATAATTTTCAATCCAAAAACAATCAATGAACACTAAATAGCATATGAAAACCACAACTAGCATTTACTCTGGCAGATTATAAACTAACTAATGTTCTAAATTTAGATTTTAGAATTAGAAAGAAATATATGATAAATCACAAGCTGGCAGTAGATCAAGTTTAATATGTATGTCTACCCCTTCATTACAATCACAACCTTGATGATCTATAATAGAAAATTCACAATTTGATTTTTTTCACATAAATTGTTTAAAGTACGTAGCAAGCAATATTTCTCTCCTTGATAAATTGTCAGACCGGTCCACTGGACCGGCTTACGGACGAAACAGGCGGAAGTTCCGCCTCCTGTACGAACAATCGGATCGCCCCGGCATGAGAGAGCTGCTTAGGAAGGATTTTTTTGAGAATTAGTAGGGAAATTTGAATGGAGGGACTGTTTAGAGATTTCTTTTTTTTATTGTATGCATTAAATAGTTTATTTTGCTAGGGTTAGGGCATCTTGAATTTGGCTGAAATTTGAGATCTCTTAGGTTTAGGTTTTTGGGCTCTAGCGGCATCTAGAGATTTAGGAGAGATAGATCCTCCTCTCAAATAGAGGACAATTGTATTTTATTATTTTTCTTCAGTTAGTTTGATTATCGCAATAAAATTACTGTTTTTTTGGTGATTTGTTTTGAATTTGTGGATCGTTCTCGCTGATTTCATCAAGATAGTTTTTACTTGGGAATTCCAAATATTTCCTAACATAAATCTTATCAAATAAAATCCCATAAATTTAGTTATATCATCGAGTTTGTATCTGAAAAACCTCTATGCAATGCAAGAGTAAGGCCACATACAAACCAAAACCTCCCATTGGCTGAAGCACATGTAATAGGCATGAGGAATTTTCAATCATTAAATATTAAGAAAAGATGGATCCACTAAAATTAAGTGCAACAAAGTGCAGTCATGTTTTGCTACAAAAATAAGAAGCACGATATCAGATCATAGTAGATATGCTTCTCAATGGTTCATAGAAATATGAATAAGAGGCATCATAAATCCACAGCTCACAGAGCTATACTTGAATCTAGATTAACCTTTATCTTTAATGTACACTTCTTAGAAATTGAGTCATCTTTTATGTAGGCTACTCTATTGCTTCTATAATCTTCAGGTATACATTCGGTGTCATATCGCAATACATGTTCTTCCACCTGAAAGAATAAAACAATGATATTAGAAAGCTACAAGGAATGGTTAGCGTAGGCAAATACGTAATTACTCAAACATTTAGTATGCATGAACAGAGGAATTACACTTTCTGAAGCACGAAGGCATATAATTCCAACTGGAACAAAAGTAATGCCCGCCAATAGAAATATAGTTATTACCTGTATTACAGGATCAAATAGAGTAAAATTATATAACAACTAGAACTGAAAGATCCACAAAATCCGTGTGGAACTTGTAATCATAATCAACTCACCAATGTTGGAGTCAAAGCAGGTTTACAGGCTGGCAGGTTCTGTTGAGTAAATCTATAAAAGACTAGAATAAAAAATATTTCCTTCATAAATTTGGGCAGCCAAATAGAAAAAGACAAGTAAAAAAATAACTGTATAAATTTTAATTATTCTTAACAAAAAAAAGAAATACTCATCAAATGAAAACATAATTTCAGTAACGGAATACAATATAAGTATACAACAACAACAACAACAGCAATCAAGCCTTTATCCCACTACGTGGGGACGGCTACATGAATCATTTTTCTCCATTGTGTCTTGTTAAGAGTCAAATTCTCATTTAGATCTAAAAAAGAAAGGTCATTTCTAATATTTTCTGACCAAGTTTTTTTAGGTTTACCTCTACCTTTCTTAACATAGGTCAAATCAAATACATCTACTCTCCTAACCGGGTCATCAGAAGGCCACCATTTTATGTGACCAAACCATCTAAGTCGACTCTCTCTAATCTTATCTGCCACTGAAGCTATTCCAACCTTTTCACGTATATACTCGTTTCGTATTCTGTCTCTAAGAGTAAAGCCACTCATCCACCTGAGCATCCTCATCTCTGCAACACTTAACTTAATTTTATGCTTCTCTTTTAATGGCCAACATTCTACACCATAAAGCATTGCAGGTCTAACCACCATCTTATAGAATTTTCCCTTAAGATTGAGTGGTACTTTTCTATCACACAACAAGCCCGATGTACCTAGACGCCTAGACGCATTGCTTTCCAAAGATTTTTAATCAAGTACTTGATGTGAAGTCAACCTCAATTAAGACAAAGAAAAAGGGTTAAAAATTGCTTGGCATGTTCACAATTATACTAAGAATCTTACAGTGAATTGAATTGATCTACTTTCTGGGTTATGCTCACTGTGGCACATTTTAGTTGATCAAGCCAGTTGGCCCTCAGTCCAATCAAAAAAGTTGAAAGCCACATACATGACAGAAACATTTGATCTATAAATGCTTATAACTTATAAGAGTGTCTTCACATAATTAATTATCTAATCAAACTTCCATCATATATTCGATTAATAGCTGCCACAACACATGTTTCATTTAATGCTCAATTCCCTTTCATTCAAATATAAGACCTCCCCCATCATTCATTATCATCAACAATAGCCTTATCCCAACTATTTAGGTTAAGCTTTATAAATCCTCAAACTTCATTTGTTAGTGCTGAATGCTGTCCAGAGCGTTTCAAAGCAATATATTGACGAAACTGCAAGACATAACCCTTAGGAAATTTTAACAAAAAAAGAAGAATAGGTCATCGCCACGACCAATCCATAGATAACAAGCAGAGCTTCTAAACAAGAAGCAGGGATTTCAATCAAACAAAGAACAATCGGAAAAGGATAAAAGGATACCGAGAAGAATTCAAGGATCTTTAAATGGACTTCTGAGGAAGAAAAAATAACACCTTTTGAACGCCTGGAGGGTAACAAGGTGGGCTGAGCTGCGCCGCCGGATCCTGACGAGATTGCTCCTTCCATTTCCATCAAAGTCTAGATCCGACCAAAACCTAATAGATGCATCAAAGAAATCGCTCGCCAGTCGCCACCAGCTTTTTCCGAAGTACGATGGAAAATGTAGGCATTGACGGGTTTACTGCCCATTTGACGAGCTCGAATCGGCTCGTGGCACGGATCGGTCAACCGAGTTCAGGTATGTATTTAGGTTTTAAATTTCCACAAAATTAAATTTAAATACAAAAATATAGGATTTGATTTTTGTTATCCCTCAATCCTCATGATGCAGAAAGTTTGAATAAAAACCTTCTTTATATTTTATTTTGGCAAATATCTGTGTCAAGTCTTAGAAAATTTTAGTCAATAAAGTATGTTTTGTCTCTGGGTAATGCAAAAATTCAGCATGCATAAATATAAACAGTAAGTTCGAAATTTTTTAACGAGAAAAAATTTAAAAAAGTGAAAAAAACCATTAGACCTAGCTAAGATAAATTTTTACTTTTATTTTTTTATTATATCTTATTTTGTTAACATTTTTATATTATATTGTCGCCTCCTGAAATATTTGCGGCGATAGAGAAATATAAAGTTTAATGTTTTAGCTTTATATGAAATACATCACACATACATATTAATAAGTATGGATGTAGAGCTCATAAAAGACACCATAATATTTACATGCAAATCCCTAAAAAGAGGAAAAAAAACCACGGCATTGCCCAATTTGAATGAATCCACTCGTGTTTGCAGTTGATTACAAAATGAGGCGCTTTCTTTAGAAGGAATGTCTTGGCTTGATGTAGCAAATATACATCACATAGAGTGCATTATATGGTGGGAGTTGGAATAATCAGCGTTGATATGTTTGTTTGGGCGGAAAGATCATAGTCGGCGAGCGATGTAAGTTAGAAGGACCGTAGTCGATGACGGTGGTTGGAATGATCGTAGTCGGACGATGGAGATTGAAAAGATAGTAGTCAAGTGCAGTACTTTGAAGGACCTAAGTTGGGTGATGGTGGTCGAAAGAATCGTAATCGGCGAGCAACAGATGTCAGAAAGGACCGTAGCTGGCGATGGTGGTCATAACGACCGTAGTTGGCGATGGTGGTTGGAAGGAATGTAGTCGGTGAACGACGGAAGTTAAGAGGACCGTAGTTGAGCCACAATGGTCGAAAGGTCCTTACTCGGTCGGGTGACGATGGTCATAAGGACTGTAGTTGCCGATGGTGGTTGGAAGGAACGTCGACGGTTGTCGGCAAATGGGTGGAAGTCCGGCGATGGTCAACGAATAGGCGAAAGTCTGGCGGTCGTGGGAAAGAACTTCAAAGATGGTCGGCGAAGGGGCGGAAGTCTAGCGATGGTCGATAAACATGTGGAAGTACAACAGTGGCCAGGAAGAACTCTAGCGGTGGTCGACGGCAAGGAAGTGTTTTGATTAAAAAAATATAGTTTTCGAAAAATGTATTAATTTTCTTTGGGAATATTTAATCTTAAATTTTGAAATAGAACACGTCATTATGAATAATATATCGCCTTGAAAGATGAACGTATCGTTCCCTAACGGGTTCAAATTTCAGAATTATAATCTTATCCGAATTATCGTAGTCAAATTCAAAGGGAGAATTACATTCGACCCCAGAAGATCAAAATGGAATTTAACCAATTGTTTGATTATTCTAATTCGGATAAAAGATCAATAATTTCATAATCAAAACCACGATAATAATTGATATATCTCTCCAAAGAAAGAAGATATCAATTATTATGGATCGTTCGAAAATGACGATAATGATCGTCGGGTTTGATTTTTCCAAAGAAAATTAGATGGAGATTTTGGAAAAATTGCTTTTAAAAAATCAGGTCTGGGTTTCTAAATCTCCTACGAGCGCAAGCCATCGTAGTTAATTACATCATAGGAAATAAGAATTTCCTATGAATACTCTCGATTAAAATAGCAGTATATATTTTATTTAAAATTTTCAAGGCTCGATATTAAAGGAGGTAAGGATTGGAATTTCAAGAGGGATTGATTCAAGATTGAACACTTATTTTTAGAGTCAAAGGAAGAAGGGTATGAGATATTTGAGATTCTGAATTATTTCAAAAAACATCTCAGGTTATCCTAAGTGTTGGGGCTCGACTTTGATTGAAAGTGATTTAATGTTTAAGTGATCAATTTTATTAGAAAATTGGGATTCAATTCCTAGAGGTTGAGGTCTTATAGCCCGAGCTAGCCTCAGAACCTAAGTCTAAATTGGATACTAAAAAGTGACCCGAACCTAGCTAATGCAATGCAAATCTGGACTTACCCCAGCCTGGATTGGGGAGCCAGCTAACCACCTAATCAATTTAAAATAAATGAATACGGTCTTTTATGAAAGAGTGGTAGGGACGTTTTATTTAAAGTTTTGGAGAGTTGGGGCCGACATCTAGAGATTTTTCTAATTGGCCCCTTTGACTTATGCTGGGTGCAAAATGCTAAGAACTAATGCAATTAAAATTTTGACTCTTTTAAATATGTTTCTAATGCAATGCATACTAGTTAACAACCTCATATCAAATATACTTGAAAGTTAAAAATAGGCTTAGAAAATAAATTTTTAAAAGACTGGGCTTCCCCAGGTCCGGCACCTCGTCCTCATAGGTTAGACTATCCGGACTCTACCCGCAGGCGGGGAAGGGTCTAAAGTAAGGAGAGAAGAAATGCAGAAATATGTATGCGACCCCGGGGTCGATCCCCGGCTAATTCCCTAAATTCGTTATCTTTCTATGTTATTAAGACTCGCTAAAATCTTAAACTTTAAAATTATGAGTATAAGAGTTTTCACATCCTTACGAGTCTCACGAGTCCAGGCAAAAATAAAAGCGCATACGAAACGCAAAAAGCTATATATAAGCAGGTAGTTCTATAGCAATCGCATCAAACATAAATTAAATAATTAAATTAATTAATTAATATGCAAACTGAAAAGTCCATAGCAAAGTTGCCTTGCTTATTCAAACCAGTGTCTGCTGATAAGAAAAGTGGCCGGCACCTTACCAACAACTCGGATTTCTAATACTAAGACTAAGTGACTTTGAGATTGGGTCTTCTCGTGCATCCATTCTTTGTCTGCTCGGTGAACTTCTTGAATACGATCGGTTCAGTGGCTTTGATGATATCCAATATGAAAAGAAACTCCTCTTGAATGTGGTGTTATCTTTTTCTTTTGGATATTCTAGAGTCATCCAATTTGAAGTTCCAAATTGATAGAGACTCTCCTTAGGGATGCCTCCTATTTGGATTAAAACTGGATTGCTTAAAATCCATTCTCAAGATACTTTAAAGTATAAATCAAATCAAATCAAATTGTACATTAATCAAAATAAAAAAATCAACTCGATACCTGCAGGTTATTCTAATAATTCAGAGATATAATCATCCCAAGCAAGTTAAATTCAATCTAAGCATTAATACTCATCTCAAGCAATTAATATTGAAATTTAACTAATTGCTTAATGACTCACAACACAAGTACACGAAGTAAGTAAACAAAACACATCATTCTAAGCTAGATACCAGCATGAGTGAAAGCTCGAAAACCCGGCTACACAAACGAAAAACACCGGCTAGCCGACTAAACAAGCGTTGGTTGTCACTAAGCAAACCATCTAAAGTGTGTGAGGTAGGCCGTGTGATTTGGATATGTCCTATGGAGGGCAATTTGTTAAAGTTGTTTGAAGTTCTGGTTGGTTGAAAGGCTTAAGGGAATATTTAAATTTGAGTTCAAATATTAATGATTTAAAAATTGATTTTAAGATTGATTTTAAGATTGATTTCTAATTTTAAGATTGAATAAATATTTCTGGAGTTTTAGAGTGATTTTCGAGTTTTGGGAATCTTTTGGATTATTCTAATCATTTAATCAAGGGGTCAAAAATTGACTTTTCAATTAAGAGTATTTTCTAGAAATTTAATATTTTATTAAAATACTAGACCTTAATATGATCAGTTTGACTGTAAGTACGCTGAAATTGGATTTTTGTACAATTAGTTATGAAGGTTTGAAGTTTTGAACTAATTTGACATAGGTTTGACCAATTTGTTGACTTTTTGATTTTGACTGATTTTCGGAGGTTTGAATTTTTTAATAAATACTAGACTTAATTTTGAGTTGAATGCCATTGAATTTGGTAAATTTGGAGTTTTCTAGAGTTAGTTATGATTTTTTAAAGTTTGAGTATTTATTGAATTTATTTAATTGTTTAATTAGAAGGGTTTTCTTGATTTTGCTCCAAATGAATCGTAAACTTCTTGAAATCAACTCCAACGGCCAGGATTGACCCAAGAAGAGATTCCCAAGTGTTTGGGAAAATTTTGGAATTTTAAATTATTTTTAATTAATTATTTTAATTAAATATTGGTTTTCAATTAAAATTAAATTAAGGTTTGATTTGATGTCTGATCAAGGGGGTTTTAATTTTCATTGATTAAAGACATGATTCTAGTCAGTTAGAGGTCTTTGGATTTAAATTTGATTTATTATAATTTTTGGAAATTTTAAAACTCAATTAAAGGGTTAACATTGACTTGTTTAATTTTCTGACCTAATGAGCTCCAAATTAGGTAAAATTTTAACCTAAGGTGTAAAATGTCACTATGTTTACTGTGTTCAAGTTTCACCCTTATTGGGTGTGTGTAGAATTTCTTAGAATTTTTCTAAGTTAACTAGACCTTGTCCTTAATTATTTTTCCTAGGTGACACTAGTATTCAATTGAGTTTGAATCTTTGTTCATCTAACCCTGACACTAAATTACACATACCATAGAAATTAGAAAGCCTAATTTTACTAATTTGGACAGTTATAAATTTTCAAAGTTTTGGATCAAAATCTGACCAAAAACCTTTAAATTTTAATTCACCAAAATCCAGCCATTAGAATGGGTTAAAAATTTTATGGCATATATGCAGCACAACATCGTATACCCTGTCCAAATTCGAGAACAATCAGATCAATGGATTGAGAGTTATCAAAGAAATTCAATTTTCATTAAATCTTTAATAACTCTGTATACAGTGATCAAATTTTGTTAAACTAAATTTGAAACTAATCTTGAGCTCAAGACGGTTTGGGATTTTTGGTGAATTTTTGAAGTTCTAGGCATTATTCTGATTTTTGTTTTGAATTTTCTGGTCAAATTGA